ATATATATATATATATATATATATATATATATATATATATATATATATATAAAGAAATAAATATATTTATTTATAATTTTTTTATAAAAATATATGTATAATAAAAATAATTAAATACAATATAAAAACCTTTAACTAAATAAATATATAAAAACCTTTGTTCCTGTAGCCGAAGTATCATCTATTCCAACAGGCCAACCTTAGTCTGATCAGCTGTTAAACATAAAAGCAATTTCAGCTTTAATTTTTCGAACAGTGGAAACCCTAGAACATATAATACATACACACATACATGTACACATGTATATTCAAATGTATGCATAAGTATACACATGCACATATAAGAAATAGTATACACACTTAAATATTTATATAAGTTATACGAGGTATATGTATAATTATACATACATATATATTTATATAAGCTATATATGTATAAGTATACACATACATATGTATATAGAGACGACGCTGACGTGGCTTCCCCGTTAGGCACACGTGTTCGTTCCTAACCTCTGCGAATTCACGAACTTTGCTAGCGAATTTTGATTAAAATTACCAGCACTCCTTGAATGTGCCTATTTGTTTAAATAGTTGCTAAAGATAATATAATGAGCTGAAATTTAATAGATTTCCCGCTAACCCAACATGCCAAATGGGGGAAATAAAACAAACTTGGATTTTTGCTATGAACACTCAGAGGGAATGTTTATGAAATTGTTTATTGAAATTAGAAAATGTGTTTCTCTTATTGGTTTCAAGTCTCAAGAATGTGGAATAGAAAAGATTCCTAGATGTCATCTGGTTTGGGTATGGCGACAAACCTCTTGTAGGGTATTTTAAATCGAAGCTGTCTCCTAATTCTGATCTTTGCAGCATTAGATCCGGTGGTCAATACCGAACTGACACCGTTAGCGGCCTTTTCTGGAACGTTGTCTCTGATGGCAGCCAAGTCAACTGATTCATTCGATGCGGCCAAGGCAGGGGCAACCGGGGCAGATCTGAAGTGCATTAAGTATTTGTAGTTGAGCGATGTCTTGGGCTTTAGTGAGGAAGCTGCCGTTGCATCAGCCGTAGCATTGTCCACTTGGCCAAAAACGAAACATTTCGGATTCACGGATTGTTTTATCTCCTCCTTCGGCGAGTCCACGTGAGTATCAGTTGATGGCTGTGCCACCGATGGGGTTTCCACGGCTGAGTTCGATGGCACTGGCACTGGCTCGTCGGGTTCCGGGCTCACTGGCCACACCTTGGAGGGGTAGGCCAATCTGACGTATAGCGGTGGATGGCCATGCTCCAGAACAAGGTTATTCCCGGCCAATATAGCCCTGTCTATCGAGTCCTTCATCTCGTAGCGCACAAAGGCAACGCCCCGCGACCTGTGCGTGTGCCGATTCTTGAGTAGGTTCACATATACTACCTTGCCAAAGCGCTCGAATATCTGGCGCACCTTCGCTGCATTGTAGGTCAATGGCAAATTTGCCACATATATCTTGTGTCTATCGGCATTTATTATCGGAGACCAAGAGACCTTAAGCTTCATGCCGCGCAATCGGCAGCCGTTCATCGCTTTCAAAGCCCTGTTGGCACTCATGGAGTTGACGTAGCTGATGAAGCCGCAGCAGTGACTGGCTCCTGTCTCCGGGTCGCGTATGATCTTCAAATCGTACAGTTGGCCAAAGCTCTTGAACAGTTGGTAGAGCTCATTCTTTTGCATGTCGCCTGGCAAGTAGTCGACCATCAAATTAGTGCCTTCAGACTCCTGAATCTCTTTGCCAGCGGAGACAGTTCGCTTTGCCATATATTTGGCAAATGCCGCATCCTTTAATTGAACCGTGGAGTTCCATAGACGATTGCTACATAGAATATTACAAAGCCAAACATAATATAATCAAATAAATTATCAATATTTGTTTCTCTTCTGTTCTCTCGGTTATTGAATAACTTACGAAAATATCCGAATTTTCTTTAGTATAAAAACCACAGCGCGGATAAATTGAACCGTGGAGGTTAATAGACGATTGCTACATAGAATACTAGAAACAAAACATAATACAATCAAATAACTGATCAATATTTGTTTCTCTTCTGTTCTCTCGGTTATTGAATAACTTACGAAAATATCCGAATTTTCTTTAGTATAAAAACCACAGCGCGGATAAATTGAACCGTGGAGGTTAATAGACGATTGCTACATAGAATACTAGAAACAAAACATAATACAATCAAATAACTGATCAATATTTGTATCTCTTCTGTTCTCTCGGTTATTGAATAACTTACGAAAATATCCAAATTTTCTTTAGTATAAAAACCACAGCGCGGATTAATTGAAACATTTTTTGCATTCTCATGCTCGACAGCTTTTGGAACCAAAGTGTTGACAGCACTGAATTTTTAACTGAATACACTGCCTGTAGCATCTGGTAATCGATAGTTTATTATCGATCCATCGGTAGGGCTGTCCATGCATAGCAATAGATTTTTAATAATTATCGATTATACGAATTTATAAAATTTAAGAGAACCAGTACATTAAATAGGCCTGCTAAAATGTTCAGAATCAAGCAAGCTCTAGTAAATTTAAATCATGCATGTAAAGCTAAATTGCTATCGATAGGAGTGAAGTGATATCGATAGCTTTTTATTTTTTTTAATAATTAATATGACTAATTTTTTCCATATGATTTAATATGACTTTTATTTCTATAAAATGTATGTATGCCGTAAGTTTTTAATTATACCAATATATAGACATATGTATATAAATTTACATACACATTCACAGCCTTGCGTGCCAAGATAAAATGAATCGCCTCTTTAGGGGCCAGAGGAAAAGGCGTAAAACGCAAAAGCTGCTACCAAAAATGGAAGAGGTAAAGGAAACCGAGTTCTTTCAGCTGTTTATTTATTTGTTTGCTGATTATGGAATTGTTAAGGACAGACAAGGAATGCGAACGATTTGAAGGTTTGCCCCTGCGCCAGGTACATTAATTGGAGCAGGTGCGAAATTTGGTAGAAAACAAAACAAACCAAACGCGTGAAAAAGTATGGGGCGATAACGATTCACTTGCTGTACCTATTGAATAATTTCCAGGGTATTCGAGTCTCGATGCAGTTGGAATAGGAAAAAAGCTTTTACTCATTGTCTGAGTGTTCATATTAATTAATTTCCATTTCCGTTTTCCGTTATCTTGCGCACGCCGATTTTTACCTTTATGCAGACTCAGCAATTAATCAAGTTTAATTACGCCCTAACGTTTCGAGTTAGCCGGGCCTCCACATAGGGATTCTAGCGAACATTGGCCGCATTAATCACTCGAATATGCCCAAACATTTCTCATGTGTGCGAGAGAGCGAGCGTGGGCGGAAGTGCGGCGGGCGTTTGGCATCCCATTAGATAAGAATAAGAGTCTCATAAAAGGGACGTCTCACGTAAACAGCGCATTTAAATATTTGCCAGGATAACGACCCATTGTCAGATCATTTAATGACCTCTCAACTGAAAAATATGTTTGAAATAATTTCAGCCGAGACACGTAAGGCCACACAAGTTCCACAATAATGGCCAGACTTAGCGAATGCAACAACCAGCGCAAGCTGTCATAGTCTGACTGCTATGTCCGGTAACCATGAATTGTGGATGCTGTTGTTATTGAGGACTTTGTGTACCTTGTGGGTTTTGTTTCTTAAACGGAATTGGTACATTTCATGTAATACCCTATATATACTTTTCTTACACCAATAAATGCAGCTACATTTTTATTTTTTTATTGTTGCTTAAACAACTTAAATAAATTATTCTATATTTATACCCTTCACTTTTCTGAAAAATATTATTTCAAGAAATACAAATATATCAAATAAACAATCAAAACGCCCATAAATAAATTTTGAATTAAGTATGTACATATGTATATATAAACCTTTAAGAATTAATTTAAATCAAATCACATTCGCAATATTTATAATATCGTTCAATTTTATTTTTGAGTTTCTCGACGTTGTTGCTTCATTTATCTCATTTGTATGCGAAAATCTTCGATTCAAGGATTCCCCATATTAATGCACACACGCAGACACACTGTATGTATGTATAATCACGCACACACACACGTATGCACATGCGTGTCAACTGAAGCCGCGACCTCCAGCTTTGTATCTAATTGGCAGCAACATTGTGAATGCAAACAATTCACAGCTGCAATTTGACAACAATGAAATACAATTTCGGTGTTTCAGAACCAATTGAGACGATCTTTGTATGCGCAATTGGAAGATATCTTAACATATGGATTGTCTGGCTGGGCATTTCCCCCCACACACTCACACTTACGCGCACACACAGCTACATAATTACATATATGTACATATATATATACATTCCACATGGCTTTGCTGTCTGTCAAAATTGCCAAAAACAACAATAATGGCAACTACAATAACAACAGATGTTCGAACTTCGAAGCTGCGCGAAAAGGTAAACGAGTTGCGCTCACGATTATATCCAAAGAGAGCGAGAGAGCAATGTAACTGGTTGGCTTCGTTCGTGTGAGTGTGTGTATGCGAGTAGGTATGCGCTTGTGTGTGTGGGAGGCATGTAACACTGACTATGACCTCAAACCACCCACAGTTACAATGCAAGCCGCTTGCGCTGGCAGCGATGCTAGCGTCAACAGCGATTTTGCATTTTGAAGAAACAATTTTTGCATTTGCTGACGTCACACGCTACAAAATACAATTGCTGAGTTTGCCGATGTTTCTTGTTTGTTGTTAGTTGTCTGTTGGTTTAGCTGCTTGTTGTTGTGCCCACAAAAGGTGCGCTTACAATTTTCTCCACTTTCTACAAGAAAAATGTGAGAAATCAAAAAGATGCCACCGCTTTGTCTCATTTTGTATAAGTGTGTTTGCCTGTGTGTGTTTGAATCTGTATTTGTATGTATGAGTGTGTGTGGCGGCCACAAAAGTTCACTGAGAAAGCAACTTGAGACTGGGCTAATGTTGAAATGAAAATAGACCGCAATTTATTGATAAAATCAATCAAAATGTAGCGCTGATAAGTCTGCTCTCTGTGTACTATTTTATTTATTTTGTTCACTTATACAATGGCAACCCTTTCAGAACAGATGGCTGGCTGGAGTCCAAAAGGCAACGCAGTCAACATTGGCGGCGGCATTCAATTGATGCAAAGTGGATGGAAGAACATCGAAAGAAAAAACGTGCGTGGTTTCAATTGCCGATAGGCAGCGGGGATGCCATGTATTGAGGGGAGGAACTCTCAACAAGACGTATTTTCATGCTAAAAACGTTCAAAATGTTTGTTTACAATTTACAACAAAATCTTCACACTCACACAAACGCACGCGCGAGCACACTCGGATGAAAGAGTGGAAGAGAGAAGCAGCTTAAATTCTGAATGAGAGAGCAGCAGTGAGAGTGAGTGCCGATCGAATAAGTAGTGAATGAGTATCTGTGCTGATCTCTTGTTGTGATTAACGGCTTGCATGTGTGTGTGTGTGTGTAGTGTAAATGTGTTTGCGTGTATAATATTGTGGGGGGATGACATCACCGCACGTTGCTGTCGCAAAGTTCGCACTATTCAATTTTTTATCTCACTCTCTCTTGCTAAATTTTTCTGCTCTCTAAGTGTGTTGGAGACGCCAACGTAGAGTGTTTGTACTTATGCACATGTGCGTGTGTGCTTCTTCGTGTGGACTACAGTGGGCTAATGTAAATTAAAATTATACTTTGATATTTGAATATATATCTACTTATATATATACATATAAAATTAAGAGTAAACCATACCTCATTTATTTATTTTGTTATTTTTACTGTCTGTATTATTCTCATTATTTCAGGCAATGCAACAAGTGACAGGGCTGCGTTCAATGTAGGCATGGTAGCACTGTGCGCTTGCATGTAGGCGCAACAACTCAAACGGATTTAATAGTTGACCAGCAACAAGAGAGCGCCCACCGCAGAGAGAGAGAGAGACAGAGAGAGCGTGTGCTTGAGCTTACGCCAACGCCAACTTTTATTTTTTTACGTTTTACGCGCTCTTTCTCGCTGGCTGACTGCTGCATGCATGTGTGCGTGTATCGCTCTCTGCTCTAAACGTGGGGCCTCTCCATGTTCAATCAGTCGTTCGGAATTCGCGAAACTATGCGGTCGGCGTACGAAGATAGCGCTGCCGTGTCCACGGATAGCAGCAAATACCACACCAGCTATAGCTATAATAGCCAAACGAATAATAATAACAATAATTACCATAAAAATTATAATGGCAACGGCAACGGTAATGGCATACCCTATCACGCGCGCGAGAACTCATTGCCCTTTAGCTATGGCAATGCCAAAGCAGCGACGCCGCTGCGCAAAACGCCAACTCCGACGCGCGCCGATAGTTTTCTCGACTTTGATTTTGGATTGAGCAGCAACAGCAACGGCAGCACCAATAATAATAATAATAACAATAATAATAGCTATAATAGTAGTAGCAGTACGGGCAGTGATATGATAAAGCCGCAGCCACGTCTAACCAGCCCTCTGTTAGTGCGCAAAACACTCGGCGGCAGCCGTTCAAATACAAATGGCAATGCGAATGGCTCGAATACAAATACCGTCATATCGAATACCTATCATTACGGGTCGGCGGCGGGTGTACCGAAGCCGCGTGTCGACTTGGAGCAGCTGCTGGGCGAGCGACGCGACAAGGTGTTCAGCGAGTATCGAGTGCGGGAAAAGGAGCGTGAACTGGAGCGCGAACTGGAGCGTGCTACGGCACGTGTGCCGCCCACGCCGCCACAGCGCCGACAAAGCAACAGCCTCAGCCACAACAAGTACAATTATGATTTTGAATTCAATCTGAACCTGAACGATATCAACGATCGCAGTTCGCTGCCGTCGCCAGCGCCAGCGCCAGCAGCAGCGCCCTATACGACACGGAACATCGAGGTCAGACAGGATATGGATGTGCCGGATGGTGCGATCGGTGGCACTAGTCGGCGCTTGGAGTCCACACTTGTGGAACGCAATTATCACACAATTAACAACAGCAGCCGCAGCATCAGCAGAGGCAACAACTACAACAATTACCACAGCTTGGAACGACCTCCAATGGAAGTGACATACAAACAGCTCGCTGAGCCACAGTTGGAGCAGCAGGCGAGCATTTATGGCCAGAACCAGCTGCATCTGGAGACGCACACGCGCAGCCGTCGCGATTTGTCGCCCATTTATGCCATCAGCACGAAACGCAACGCAGCAACCGCTGCAGCTGCTCCAAATAGCAATGGCCATCAGGTACAGATACAGCAGCAGCAGCAGCAGCAGCAACAGGCGGATTACCTGCTGACACCCAGCCCCACTAGCCGGCCAGAGACGCCCGCTTTTCCGGTCACGCCACGCACGCCGTTCGGCAGCAGCACCTTGCAGCGCGCCTCCCCCACCACAGAGTCCATATACCAGACAATGGCCACCAATCGGCAGCGCCTCAATTCAGCGCCCTCGCCCACCTTTGAGGTGGCACCGGATCTGGTGAAATTTGCCCGCAACTCGGCCAAGTTCTGGTACAAGCCGATGCTCTCCCGGGAGGATGCCATTGCGCTGCTGATGAATGCACCACCGGGCACTTTCCTGGTGCGTGACTCCACCACCTATGCGAATGCCTACGGTCTGGTGCTGCGTGTCGCTCAGCCGCCGCCGGGCAGCCAAGAGCTGGTGCGTCACTTTCTCATTGAGCCGACGCAACGTGGCGTCCATCTGAAGGGCTGCGACAATGAGCCCACCTTCACCTCGCTCTCGGCCCTGATCTATGAGCATTCCATAAATAAGCTGGCGTTGCCCTGCCTGCTGCGAATACCCGATGAGGATGTGGTACCCGGCCTGGCGTCCACCACACCGGCCCAACAGCATCTGCTCACCCATGGAGCGGCTACGAATGTGCTGTGGCTCTACAGCTGCGACACGGAGTCGCTGACTGGCAACGAGGCCATACGCAAGGCCATCCGGCAGATGTACGCCCAGAAGCAGCTGCCCACGCCCACTGAGGTGCACTTCAAGGTGACCGGACAGGGCATCACCCTGACGGACAACACGCGCAAGAAGTTCTTCCGCAAGCACTACACGGCCGACGTCATCTCCCACTGTGCCATCGACCCGGATAATCGCACGTGGAACCACAATGGCAACGAGGCCGACAAGAAGACCATCTTCGCCTTTGTCGCCCGGCGATCGCACAGCTCCAAGGATAATCAGTGCCATGTCTTCTGCGAGCTGTCCGTGGCCCAGCCCGCCGCGGCGATTGTCTCCTTTGCCAACCGCACGCTGCCCGTCGAGAAGCAGCGCAACTACGTGCTTTGAGGAGCGGCCGGACATGGAAATGGGCCAGCAGCCAAAGGCGCACTAGGTGAGTAACCAGTCGACCTGATGGAGGGCCATAAAGTCGAGGCAAATTGCTGATGGTCTAAGGTGTGCCAGCTTTTGACGTGCATTCAATTACAGTAGACACCCTTAGAAGGGAACCAATATATTGTTTCAGTAGTAATATTTGATTCGGGGCAAAACGAAATCACAAATTTATTTCCTTTTTAATATGCCAAATACCATATTTAAATTTTGATTTTATTTGATGGATTGAATATATTATTCCTATTCTCAAATTCAATTACAGCAAAGCAGCTTATTCTCTCTTTATCTACTATTTCTTTAGTCTAGTCTTTCCCGTTATAAAAATTATCCTTTGAACCAATTAAATTAAATAGTTTATGAATTTAGAAATACCCAGTTAAGTCTATATGAATCCATTAAAAATAAATTATTTTGGATAGGAATATCTCTATTACGAATACCTCAAATTCCAGATTCATCTATGGTATTCACTGTACACTCAGATGCTCCATCATTTTTAGCGTCAAACGGAAAACGATTAAAATTGTTTCAGTTTCTGAGGCGTTGCTTTTAGCTTTTCCCCTCGTTTGTTTATTTACCATATAACAGAACCCCTCCCTCACAGCCCTTCGTCTGTGTTTGTTTGTTTTATGGCCTTCATATGCATATACACACTATAGCCGGGCCACATAAACATCGTCTAAAACACATTTCGTTACGTTAGTCGCGAGTTCTTTTTCGCAACGGATGTTTGTGCCATGAGTCAGTTGCCCAAAATATGATGTAGCATACAAATTGGATTGATTTTCGATCTGGCTTAGATGATTATATGGTAGCCGATTGCCTAATGGGCCCACACACACCTACTATGTAGAACTACATTTAAGGCGCTTCGTTGTTTACCTATATACATACATAGACGTACGGTATATATATGTGTGTGTGTGTATACATATATTCTTGATTAATTCGCTTCACCGCTTCACGGTCAGGCGTTGAGGTTGCCCGATAAGGCTCACACAGTTCCTAACTGTGCATAGACATGCTTATGGGCCACTTTTCCTGATTACTCACATATCGCATAACACATTCGCTATCATTCGGCGGCTCAATGTGTCGCTGTTCTATTATAATAAAGTTTCAGACAGCTCAGCTCGACTGTAATACGTATCAATATAAATGATTTCAAGTATCAGCTTTCGATTAATTTGACTATATCTTATCGCAAAAAGCGACGAAATTATACCAAGTGAAAGTTTTGCGACATTCTCGAAAGATTTCCCAAAAGAATATATGTATATTGGGTTTGTTTTTAAATACTTACTCTATATAAAGTAAAACAGAATGAGCTCAAATCATTTTGTATTTATTTCACCTGATATATAGTTTGTTATCCAACACTCCCAATCCCTTTTCCAGTGCTTCAAAATAGCATTACTTACAATCTTTTTCACACTCTGTCTCTGCATCAGATCATCAAGATATCCTTCAAATAAATCTCACACATTTCAAGGCAAAATAGTTTCATATCTTTTGGAATATCTCGCCAACGATCAACACAAATAGATATAGTCATATATGTATGTATGTATACATTAGTATTAGCAAGAATCGTATATAGCACAAATGTTTAAATAAATTCTGCGGAAAGACGCATTGAGACGTCCGCCAATTGCGCATTTTAGAAAACGCAAAAGCGAATGGGGCAAACAAATTAATTCCAGACGTGTTTTTGAATTTGATTTTGTTTTCTTTTCGTTTTTTTTTTCGATTTCGCCTTTTGCGATTTCACTAAGTTCGCGCATAAAAGTAACAGTAAATTTAATTGAAAATTCTAGAAATAGAAATAAAATCGCTCAAAGCTCAAGAGTAAACAGCGAATTCACTCTCTTTCTCTCTATGTGTATACCCTCTGCACTCCCTTCCCTTTTCGTCGCTCTCTGAATCTGTCGATTAGCCCGATCAGACGATTCGTTTGATCTACAATTAAGCAATTAAAGCTTATATATACTTACCTATATAGACTATACAGATTTTTATGACCTTTTTTTGCTATACTAAATGCCATTTTTCGCAATTTATTTTTTAATTTCAGGCGGCTTACCGTTAGAGCTGAGCAGTGTTGTACAGCGAACATAAATTAGAAATGCCACGTAGAGGAGCACGAACATTACACGAAAGCAACAACAAAAGCAATAACAAAATATAACAAGCAAAATAAATAAATTAACCAAAATGATGTCAGTTAAAATTTGTCTGCTAGCTAACGCACAGTGGAGCCAAGATAATAATTAATAATGCGATAGATGTTAATCAAATAAAAAATATAGTCTAGTAATATAAATACAAATTGTATTTCATCAATAATTTATGCCAGTTCTCTACGTCCTTGTACATTATTGACCTAAAATAAATATTGTAAATATGTGTGCTAATTTCAGTTATTCAAAATCCTTACCTACGTAATCGAATTATTATTGTTTGAGCCACTTTGCTCCACTGTGCACAGATTAAAAACGAATAAAGATACCTGAACGAAATAAAATATGCCATATGTGCATATTTATTTTGATGTCTGTTTATATAATCTAGTGTTAAAGATGAAAGCTAATCTATACTATACATATATAATACCCATGTATCCATACACGTTTTTTTGATACACATAATCTATATTAAGAGACACGAACGTAATAAATGTTAATTTAATTTACAGCAAACATAAAAAAGAAATTTAATGCAAACCCTAACACAAGTTTGCCATATAATTTATAGAGCTATAGGTAATATATAAACCTATATATACGATATACAACTTTTATGTCTAAAATAATTAATGTGTGCTAGTTTAAAGATCTACTAATGCAGTCAATATAAATAAAGTGCAATGATGTTGAAGATAAATATCCCTAACAAATGCAAATATTTTTCTTCTTATCTAAGAATGTTTACTTCATATTTTACAGATACTGTAAAAGCAGTATAATAATATTTAGTCAAGAGCGCCTGACAAAGGGATACCTCTGCACACAGCTTCAACGCCCGGTTCCACACATACAGAAATCCGCAAAGTTTGTTCTTAATACAGCGCTAAAACTATGAATAATTTAAATAATTTATTAAATTCCCGTATTAATTAGAGATCTTCCGTTGTCTATGTTATGCCTGAAAAACTCAAACAAAATATTGATTATTGCGCTTCTATGAAATTTTGAGGAATCTTTCAGACCAAAAAAGTTGCGTGCGATATATATATATATATATATATATATATATATATATATATATATATATATAAAATATAAAATTAAAGATCGCAAAGCTCCAGCTCCAGAGATCACTGAGCTTATCTTCCAGATCCACGAGATCGGTCAAGCCTGGGCTACCCACCAATCACATCTTTAATTGCATAATATATATAAATATATACGTTATATATTTTGGAGTAATTCCTGAACTGTGGACAATAAATAAATTATTTGCCATTTTTAATTGGCAGCATCTGTTTGTAATTCAAGCACATATTTTTATTGTCTTTGCCAGTGCGTTCTAATTCCAAGCTGCAGTACAATGGGCAAAATCAACAAACATATGTAACAATTGTTGTGACTGACGCTTTTGTCAAACAATTAAAGTGTCTGCCAGATATATATACAGATATATAAGGCTATATATTGTATATGTATGTCAGTAAATACATATAAACTTGTCGTAGCTCTAACGTACACAATGGGTGCCTGCGACATTTGTTTTGTAATTTAATCTTATCGTTTGACAACTTCTATATAGATATTTTCCCATATAAAGATGTATATATACATATATGTATGTATCTATATGGCTAACGTATATATGCACTTAAATGCTCTACGTATCACTCGGAAGTTCTAATAGCTTTTTTTTATCCATTAATTGTATAATTTATCGTGTGCATAAAAATTCCGCTCAATTTTAATGGCTTAATGCATTTTATAACACTACAAAAATAATAATAAGAACAATAACAGCAACAACAGAAGGCAGGAGCCAAAGCGTGTCAAGTGAAATGAAAATGCGACCGGCTGACGACCTTGAAATCAATTTGTGCCATGATGACGTCATGCGTCAACAACAACAAACAACTGGCGCAACAGGCACCGCAGACAAGCCAACGACAGCTGTTTACTGTATGTGCCAATGGGTATATTATTTAAAATAGATCTCAACTACAATTTACAAGCACAAATTCTATGCATAACTTCGAAAACACTTTGCACCCACGAAATTTCTTTAGATTTCTATTTCATTAGTCGCACGCGATTATTTCATTTTTTTTTTCTTTTTTTTGGCTGCAGCTAATTTCCTTTTTTTAATGGCTCGCCGAAAGCGAAACCGGTCTGTCATGTTCTCTTGCAAATATGCGTGTGTGTGTGTGAGCGTGTGTATATGTGTTGGCGAGTGTATTTTTGTTAATTAAGCAACAGAAAAACATCTGACGCTCTAAAGCGGCGCCAACGCGCTTTGGTGACATTTTTCGGCCTTCTCTTATGCGTACGCTGATGCGTGCGTTAGCATAAATAGCTGTCTAGACAGCTTCTATAGATTTAAACTACCTGAATAAGTAAGTATTAAATTATTTATAGTTTTCAGCTTATTAACATTACGCACTTTGCCTCATTTTGCGAAAACTGTATATTTATCGATAACAAAAGCTGTGTATTGACATTTAAAATGGGAAATAAGCCACAAGTGCGCGGTATGTTAACTTAACAGTCGATGCTCTGTTAAAATAGCAACATTCATATATATAAGTGAAACAAATTTCTGTTAAATTTTGCATTCGTTTTAATACATTTGGTGTTGTTTGAGTGTGTGATTGTGTTTACAAAGTGAACATAAAATAAACGTTCTTTTACACGCTGTACTATATGGTGTATGAGTGTGTGTTGCTTTGAGATATCTACATAGCTACAAACATACGGGTTGTTCACATCATATTTAATTAAACATAATAAATACGTTTCTAAGCATATCATATATATATATAATATATAGTGTATATAAATATAACAAATAATACATCCAGTTGTTACGGCTACACTAAAACAAGCCATCCAATTCAATCAGATTCAACAGTACAAGTGATACAAAAATACATTATAATGATAACCCAAAAACGGAGAGTAGCTAAACACAGGTGAGTCCATTAACATCCACGTCCACATCCATTCAATGCCCAATACCCTTCTCGTCGTATTACAAAATTGTTTGTAGTCATTTTCTTCTTTTAGTTTTCAGGTTTAAATACAATTTTCGCTAGGGTTTCTCACTAATTCGATTTAGCTGAATACGGACTAGTTGATCCAACTGAGGGCGGTGTGGGCGTGGCACCGCTGCGTATACCATCACCCTCGCATACGTACTTGCCTGTAGAGCGGAAAAATCCATGAGAATTTACTTGACAAATGGCAGAGACATTTACATACCTGAAACAAAACGTCTTTTGACCAAGGACAATCGATATCCGCCTCCTTGCAGTTCAAATTCAATGCCCGAGAGTGTGGTACCCTCACAATTGAACTGTGCGGCCAGCGTGGCCGGCGTTGAAGGTCCATCATTGAGCTCGAGTCGTGCACGAAGCGTACCCACGCCGCCATCCTGTGAATTCTGCGATATGTCCGTAAAGTTCCAAACCAAGCGATTCGATTCACCCAACCTGTATCACAAGCATCGTAAGTTAAAGACTGAAATGCAGTGCTGCCCGAGGGTTGACTTACCAGGATGAATGCGGCTTAGACTGAACGATGCGCACAGAGCCATTCACCGGCACAGAGAGTGTGACATTCAACAAGGGCGACGCGTTGGCCATGGCATGATTATTGTACTTGTAGTCAACCTTGAGCGCTGTGTAGCTCGGCTCGCACTTCCAGTAGCTAACCAGCTGAAGGGGACACGAGCTGGCGCCCGGCTTGGTGCGCACCTGATACTTGAGTATATCCACGTTGAAATATGAGGCAGTTGGATTTTTCTCCGCCTGCCTGCGCAGCAATGCAGTCAACGCAGGCATATTAAACTCCAACAGCGTGCTCAGCGCGCTCGACTGTTGACGATCTCTGTGAAAGAGTTGGTTTAGAGCAGGGAGTTGGGAGTATGTTCAGTGTTCGTTTCACTTACATTTGCACAAGTTTCCCGTTGGGCACAAGACTCTCCAGATTTTGTACTTGCTTAATGCGAAAGCCCAGCTTAGCTGGATTTGGATTATTGGCTAACAAACCGGCAATGCCGGCTGGGAATGATAGCATCATATCACCGGACACCTTCACCTGGCAGCGCGACTCGTCGCTGCCCCTGAAATAGGCGTGTATAATCTCATGGAATGCCACAGCGAGTGGTATTGTATCCGATATGCCAATTGTCAGTGGTGAAGGGCCACGAGACGAGCCCATGCCCCCAATGGCGGTGCGAAACTCTAGGCTGCCAATGCTGTCTGCTCGGTTCATTGCTGGCGCTGGACTCATCCGTCCGCGTCCAAGATTTGTTGCACCCGCTGCAGCAGCCGCCGCAGATGCTGCTGGGCCGATGGCAATCATATCTGATCGCCGTGAAGGAGGGCGTGGAATGGCAATGCTGCTGCCACCAGATGTGGGTGTTGGTATCTGCCGCCCTGGCGGCTTGCTAAACGTAGCCGATGCTGGCGCCGAGACGCTCATTTCGCCCAGCTCCGAGAAAATATCGCTCAATTCCGCATACCGATTGTGGCTAGCATTGTTGTTCGCATTGTTATTGGAGAGCGTGGGACTCTGCAGTGGCGCATATGGGTGCACGCTGGCCGTGGGCGTTGACGCATTCGATATCTCTGGTGACTGTTGACGAGATGCAGGTGCGCCGCGTTGTCCACCTTGCAGTTGTTGGCTATGGTGCTGTAAATAAATTATTAAATAAATTAATTACATGATCATCTTTTGACTCGCATTTAAAATTAGTTTTCAGCAGCTGTTAACGATCAAAATTTAATGTTGAGTTGCTAACATGCTAACATTACACTCTGCTCAATAACAGCCAGTGATTTAACACTGACTGCTAACAACATTAAATATTAATACCAGAACCTTCTGTTAACTTCCGCTTGTTAGCAGCAGCGCAATTTAAATTATTTTTATTAACTTACCGCAAAAACTCCAGTGGGTGATAACGAAATATTCTCGACAGTCGCCCTCAGCTCATCCACGCTAGCCGACATGGGCGCCTGTCCATTGTTGAGTGGCTTTATCTTCACATGAATGCGTCGCTTGTCGTTATCCGAATCCGAGTCTGAGTCGGTATAGAAACTGCCAGCTGCTAAAGGAGTTGTACACTTAGTTAACAAGCAATATTGCGTAGACTACAGAAAATGTGTGTCTTACATTTATCGTGGCCCTCCTCCCAGGCTATTTCCTTAGCTGGTTGTATGCTAAAGCCCTCTTCATCCACCTCGTATCCACTTCCACCGGCACTGGCTCCACCGGCAGCACCTGCGCCCGCTGCACTCGCACTAGCTCCACCCACTCCAGAGTTGCTGCTGGCATTGGCTAGAGCACCGGCTACAGCCACGCCGCCTCCGCTGCCACCCATGCTGCTGGCGCCGGCCGAGTCAACGCTGCCTTGGGCCGAGGTGGCGGACAGGGCGGCCAGTCCACCGCCTGCGCTGCTGCCGCTGGAATTTTGAGTCTTCATGCTGCGTCCATGATCATCATAGTCGAGTAATGTGTTATTTCCCCGATCCGCACTGCAGGTAAAACGTCGATCGAATTAATTGCTTTTTCAATTGCTTCATAATTATATAAATAATTATTACCTGGCCAAGCGCTCTTCCTGTATATTGTGATCTGCAGCCTCGTTGTCTTTTTTCTTCTTGGATTTTTTGGTTTTGGCCTTATCGCGTCTACTACGCAAAATGCCCGAAACTATTTCAAATTATTCAAAAAATAGTTAGTTAAATTAAGCTTTATAATTGCGATGGCAGTTCTTGGCTCTACAAGGACAGCAAGCTCTACAACAAACATTATGAGCTATACTATATGCAAGTCTAACAAATTTAGCAAGTAAACGCAAATTCACATAAAGTTCAGTATTCAAAGACATTCTGGTGTCCACAAAATACATATGACTAAAACTATGTTCTAATAACAATATTAATTTTAATAAAAGTTTTGTCTTTTAACACTGAACTTTTTCCGTGTTAAAGTGCGTAGATTTACTCATAGTGTTGAGCAACAATATATAGAAATCGTTCATAAAGATTCTTAACTCAACTCAAACACCGCCATGGATAAAGTGCAACAAATGATTTAGTGAAGATGTTAGAGATATTTCACAATAAATAAATAGCCGTGCAAAAAAGCATTGAAAACTTGTGCTTAAACTTGAATATACATATATACATGTGTATATATATACATACATATATTAATATGAACATATAGTTATATATGTATATATATAGTTATGTGAGCATTTTGGATATGGACTGGGCTGGTTTCGGTCTATTTTTGCTGGGAAGGTAGACACTTTATGTTTATTTTCGCATTTACCCTGAGAGTTTGATGTGAATATATTTAAAAGTGACGTTGTACGTCTGGACGTTGTTGTTGCTGTTGTTGGCGTGGCTACGTTGTTACCCACTGCAGTCTGTTGTTGTTGCTGTTGTTGATGTTGCTGATGATTTAGATGATCTTGATCGTTTAATGATTTCGATAATTGTTGATCGCTTGTCGTTGCATTCAATTGCTTTCTATCAGCTGCGCTTGCAGTTGGTGTTAAGACCTCATTTGGCTGCTGTTGTTGTTGTTGCTGTTGGTCTTGCTGTTGTTGTTGTTGCTGCTGCTGATCTAAAGTTTTTAATTTCAATTAGTTTGATCAGTGGTGCATGGATGATCGAGTCGATAATGAAATGAATGGTTTTTCATTGAATGAATGAATGTTGTATTCGATGTTGTCGGCGTGCAAAAAGCGAGACACAAAAGTGCAAAACAGAGAAGCGTTGAAAATATTGTTAGTTGTTGGGCAGTTAATCGTTGTGGTGTGCGTGTGTGTGTGTCTGTGTATTTGTGTGTGTGTGTGTGTGTCTGAGTGGGTGTGGGTGAATATAGGGTGTTAACATTTGGCTTTTGGCTGGTGTTTGAGTGTACGTTCCGTAGAGTACATAAGAACATAAAATAAACGTAAATAATCACAAGTGTATATACATGAGGAAGAAATATAACAAATTATAAATATAAACAAAAATTTAATAAATTATGAACAAAATACTCTAATGTAATTGTTTTCCGGCAGCACATCAAGATTGTGCATAGTTCAAAAACACATATTACAAAAATAAGATAATATTCGTATGAGAGCAAACGCTTTGGAAAATTTTTAGAAATACTATCAGATATAGATAGATGAGCACAGCATTGTTATTTGATTCGAATTGAACTGTTCGAAGTATCTACAACAAATCCAATTTCTATCTAGGTTAAGTAAATTAAGTAACTTTGTAAATATGCTGCACATTAAGAGAATCAAGTCAACGCTAACGTATCGACCTCATTTGTATCGAGTTAGAGTTACTGAGAAAACGCTTTGCCCTTCGAGTTATGCACTTGAAAGTGGGATGGACAGATAATGTAAATTTAGATAGAAGACAGAATAGTTAACATACAAGAATTGCAGAATACAAAGTATACACATTATGGATAGAGACTGTTACCGTTGTAAAAGAAACAAATGAAAAGCATTAAGAAAAAAGAGCACTAAGAAAGAAAAATAATAAGAAAATCAACCTTGACTACTAGTTGTATCCAGAAGCTCTGAGTTAGGGATATTTTTGTTGGTGACATTGGTGGTGAAATTATTTGTGCCGGTTGCTGTGGTGTTGTTGGTGTTCGAGTTGGCGCTTGTTGTTGTTGTTGTGATGTTCGTGTTGTTGTAATTGTTGTTGTTGGAGCTGCTACTGTTGCTGTTGCCAGGCATACCGAAATTCCCAGCGCTAACAGAGCTGGCGCTCTGCTGCGGTTGCTGTTTGCTCGCCGTCGGCAAAAACCAGGAGCGCAGACTTTTTACCGTGGACGTAGGGGCGCTCGCCTGTGGCGGCACCGGCGGCGGCTGTGCCCCTAGCGTTTCTGGCGATGTGGGCCGTGGCGATGACGGACCACCGCCCACGCTGCCCAGCATTGCATCGTCTACATAGGGAATGCTTCCACTGGCCGCACTGCCGCTGCCCAATGAGATGCCCGCAAGTGCATCGCCAACACCGACACCGCCACCGCCCCGTTGGTCCATCGAAACCAGACTACCCGAAGCGGCTGCTGCTGTGCCACCCGTACGCAAAGCCGCCTGAATGCTGGTTGCCGAGTTCGAATTTGATGCCGCTCCTGATGCCTGAGGCGGCTGCTGCAGACGCGATGCATTTGACAACGGAATAAACTCCAGCTCGAGCATCTCTGTGAGTAGATCAAAAAGATTTGGATTAGTATCATTAAATATAGATTAGTACTAGCCATAAAGGCTGCTGTTATTAACATTGTTTACATAAGTAGTTTTCATTAACAGGTGCTGTTATTGTCTACAGAGCCAGCAACTGTTATATAGCCTGCTTATGAAGACTATGTTAATAACAGCTCTGAGAAACGATGCATTAGAGTAGACGTACCGGGCTTCTCGAGACCCGTGTATTTGTTCAACACAAATTGCTCGAGTAGCTTATCAACGGACATGTCCACAAATTGGCGCTTGAAGTCCGAATGCACTTGTCCGACCATGTCGTGATTGTTTTGCAGCATCTCCAAGTAAGTGGATAGAAACTCCTTCATTTGACGCAGATGCACCTCCTCGATCTCTTGGAAACGCTGCAATGCAATAGAGAATTTGCTATCATAATAATGTTTCAAATTACATTTTGCAACCCCACATACCCTGCACGTTTGCGTCATGCGACGCTCAAACTCGTTCTTGATCGGATTATGCTTCTCGAGCAGCGCTTTATAATCCTCTTGCAGTTTTTTAAGTTTACTCTCCAGCTTCTCTGCATCCTTGTGGGAGCCGTTGTCCTTGCGAAGCTTCTCCAGCTCGAGCACCTTGCTGGCATACAAATCGCGCAGCTTTTGCACAGCAACTGTTGATGTTTGTATGGCCTGAACGCACTCGAGCGTGTGGGATTCCTCCTCTTTGACGCACTTGTGTTTCTTGTGCAGCTCATCGGCATACTTGGCCACATCTTTGACCAGCTCTGTCAACTTCTGCACCATTTGCATGTGCAGTGTCGACAGCTTCTCCGCCGAGGTGCGTAATATGGTCCAAACCGGTGCAAAGGTGCTGTTCAATGTGCCCGTGCTGGCCTTGTGGGCCAACTTGGACATCATTTTCGAGTTCTGCTCCTCGATGTTCGATTTCTCGCGCAGAAACTCGGACAGCTCCTTGCTGGCCACCAGCCCGTACTTCATATTATGATACAGGACATCGAATCCATTGTTCTTCTCCCCCTGCACCGAAAACAATTGACATTTGAATAGGAATAGGAATTGTTACTTGTTTCCATTAGCAGCAACTCACCCAAAAATAATCATTAAAGTCCACCGTCATTTCGCGTGTGTGTCTTAAAATCTAAATCTTACAAAATTCTAGGGCCCCGGGAATATTCTAAAAATGCTTTGCTGAGCTTCGCTTTTGTTTGTTGTCGGTTATGCCTTTGGCCTTATTGTTGCTTGGTTTTGTCGTCGTCGTAGCTAAATAATTGACTCGGTTACCCAATCCCAATCCAATACCTAGTGGCTCAACAGTAGAGTGGAGCACAGTGGCACATTGCTGGTTGATCCCATCACCATCTTTACCATGATCATAAAATGTTCCGTCTTCAGTACGCTTTGGACGCATTGGTCTCAGGAAATCCCCCTTATTTGATATCCTTGACAGCTGCTGCAATTGATAAGATATACACATAATATTAATAATCTTTTAATATGTTTGTTATTCAATGAATTTAAGTAGAAACTGCAATACTATTTGGTCTTTCATGGGCAACAGAAATTCAAATATTTATTACTTGTTTTTTTAGTTTTTAATTATAATTGAAATAAACACAAATTTCGTTTATCAAGTACATTTTCAGAAACTTATATAATACTAAAATCGTAAGCCCGAAATGGAATCGCCTCTATTGCTCAGCCTGTGCCTTGGCCAACTCCAGATCAATGCGTTCCTCCAGTGCACGCGTTAATATAGTGCAGCAGTCCTTAATTGCATGATAGATAATGTTCTTGATCTGGAGCTTGTCCTCGTGATTGGTGTGCGAATGCGAAAGCCGCCTGAACTCATGGGTCAGATGATAGCAGTGGGTAATATTCTCCGGGGAAACAAAATCCTCGGCCACCTTGATGCAGTTGTGCAAGTTCTGCACCTGGTGCGGTGCACCGGCAGGTATGAAGACTGCATCGCCCAAGCACTGGACAATCGGATAGCCCTCGACGCCATACTCCTTGAACAGGCGCGCACGCAACTTGTCGTCGAGATACCAGTTTTGGTCGTGTATGGGATCGTGGTCCGGCTCCAGCCTGAATCCCTTCTCCAGGGTGACGCGATTAAGCAGATCCCGTATCTTATCCGCATCGCGTGCGGGAAAGATGTGCCACAGTGCGCCAGGCAGCACATCCGGCGACTGGCAACGGGCCCGTGTGATATATTCACAGCCGCCCAGTGCGATGGCGCGCTGTGTGGCCGCCAGCTGGGGCTTGCTGTCCTCATCCGTGGGTATGCCCACGTAGACCATTATGTTGACTGCGTCCGATATGTCCAGATGCAAATTGGTGGTTCCCTTATCCGGATGCAGTGCCGAGCCATAGGCATTGTACATCTTCGGCCCCAAATCGGGAGGCACAAACATTTTGGGCAAGCAGCTGGCTATGTTGAGATTGCCAGTGCGCAGCGTATACTCGGGCATGGGCAGGCCCCGCATCAGATCCGCAAAGCGTGTGGGCAGTATTTCGGCGAAATCGTCGCCCGGTGGCCAATCCTTGAGCTTCAGCAGCATCGGCTTGCCATTGGCGTCGAGCAAGCGCTTGTGCATGCACTGGAAACCCTCCCAAAAGTGGCGCATCGGCTGATTGGGCACCAAATTGCCATTCAGACAGTTTATCAAATCGTTCGGTTTGTCGCCAAAGTCACGGCAAAAGGCCTGCGGATGCCATAGGTCCAGATTGAGCGAGCGAGCCACCTCGGATATCATCACAGGCTGTCCGCATTTCCACACCTCTTGAAAAAGTACCCGATTATCGGGATGCATGGGATCGGTGAGGCGCAACAGTTTGCCATCGCATAGCCATTCATGGGGAACACCCGGCGCCAGTTGCGTCGAGTGCACCAGGGTCATGGCGCGTGGGGGCAAGAAGCGTCGCAAGCCGGCAAGGCCTTTGCGCAAAAAATTTATGTGCTTGAAGTTATCAAAAGCGCTGGTGATGGGATCTTTGCCGAGTGTCTCCTTGGTCCAGACGCGACCAGGCACATAGTCAATGCCATTTTGTCGAGCAAATTCCAATTTCTTGGCATGCAGCTGCTCCAGCCGCTGCTGCTGCTGCACCTTCTGAGCGGTGGCCAGCGAGGAGGCGCTGGTTTGCTGCTTCAGCTGTGACTCCTTGATCATGTCTTGAATGAGCTGCGTCAGCTGCTCGTCCCTGACCTGCTGTTTGCTGAGCAGACAGCCGCACACCTGGGGCACCTGCCACAAAGTGCGCACCTCGTGCAACAGGCGACCGAGCACATTAAGTGCATCCCCTGCAATAATTTGGGTCAGCATCAGCTCGGGCAGCGTATGCTGCTGCTGCTTGTCGCTGTCGGTGCAGAGCAGCCAGTGGTAGGCATCGTAGCCTCGCTGAGCCTCGACTCGCCGCTTATTTTGCAGTCCCTCCTTGCGATCCTTGTAGCAATCGATGCATACACCGAAGCCACACTTTCTGCACGTCCAGTGATAGTTGAATAGCGTTGTATCGCAGACATCGCAGATTTCCCGTATGCCCTGCACGGCTTTCTTCCAGGCAATCGTACCGTCGGGATTCTCGTGCAGCTTCAACGCCTCCGCCTCCTGGCGCCACAGATAGCAAAACTGATCGCCGGCATGCAACAAAATGTAGCGGCACACTTGTATATCCATAAAGCCAGCGGTAGGCGCTGTCTTCGAATCCGGCTGCCAGATTGCGTAGTCAGCACTGGTCGGCTCCAGGTAGGGATTGGGAAATCCGGCAACGCTTAACTCTCCTTCGGCATTGTATTGGAGGCGTCGAAACTCGTAGAAGCGACAGTATATGTCATTGCCGGTGTTACCGCTGTTGTTATTGCTATTGCTGCTGCTACTGCTGTTGATACTGATGCTGCTGCTGTTAGTTTCTGCTGGTGTTGCAGGTGAAGCTGCAGGCAGTGTATGGCGACGTCGGCACTCGCGACATTTGGGTATGGGTGTCGAGCTGATCAATTGCTGTAGCTTAAAGCAGGGCAAATGCTGCAGAAAGATTTGGCAGCTGGCGCGGTTATCGCGGTCACGTTGCTGCTCCTCAATGCTCAGTTCAATAACATTGTTTAGCGGCGGACTTTGCTGCTGTTGCTGTTGGTGTTGCTGCTGTTCTTGTTCATCTTTCATGTCCGTTTGAGGTTCTGGCTCCAAATGGGCACGTTTACAGCTGTTATCGCTGCTGTTAATCTCATTTGATATGTGTATCTCGATTATGGATTTCGGCTCCGAACGTGACAAAGCGCGCTTACGGCACTTGTCGTCACTATTTGATAACGGCGTTGCCAGACTGACGATAGCTGTGCCTGTGGCTGCTGCTTCTTGCGACATTGCGAGCTATGCGCGTGCAGAATGAGCGAGAGAGAAAAAGGGAGAGAGAAAAAGCATAATATGAACATCTCATAATTTGCCAGCTTATTACAAGTTTGCGTTTGTAGCCGGCTTTATTTTGCTTTGTAATTTGTGATAAATTTGCTGTTGCTGCTGTTGCATTTATTGTTATTGTTGTTTCTTTGTGAGTGGTATCTTCTCATGCGATCGTTGTCGATAACATTTATGATACGTTACAACTATTATATACTGTTAATAGAACTGCCTTTTTCCTTTGTATATTTATATTTATATTGTGCATTGGCAATATCTGCAGTCACATTAACCTATCTCAGAACAAATTCTGTACAAAATATTCTTTAAATTATATATGTATATGTAGCAATAATTATAATGTACACATTAGGTCAAAAGACTCAACAGCCAATTGATAATTTGTCATAAATTGGAATGGGGCGTTTGTTTGGTTGTCGACGTATGTAACTTACATACATACATACATATGTGTTTGAATGTCTACCTGATAAGCATAATATAGTAATGCAAACACCCCCAATAAAAAAAACTATTCAATCGGCCATATACAGCAAATAAATAAGCACTGTATATGCTTTGCAGTGTATCTTTTATAATTATCAAAACTTGATAGAAATATAAATATAGACAAAACAGAAACAGGGCTTCCTATTTTTTCGCCACTCAACGCTATTTTTAAGCAACATTTGCTAATTAGCCGAGATGGCCACACACACACACACACACACACACACACACACACACACACACACCATCAATATGTTCACGTGCAATCATTTAACTTCATTATGACAAAAACTCCCTCTCTCTCTCTCTCTCGTAATCTCTTTTCTCCAAAGATGTGCAACAGGTGCCAGTATAATTTGCCGCATATCGATAAATTCACTCTTTTGTATCGATTTATTATAACCAAATAGGGGCGGAAATGTATATATGTATGCATATACATATATTATACGATGTAGACCTTTACAGCTATTCACTAGTTATCTGAAGTATGACAACACGAATATAGCCAGACACGCATCGTTCTGGTGAGACCCATTGAATTAACCTTGGCTGACATACCACACAAAACACATACAGACGCCTACGCCCTTGTAGCAGTTGCGATAATGTTTTGGGCGTGAACCGCAGCGAAGCCGCCACAGCTGCCGCTGGTGCTTCTGCGTGTCTTATCGGTAAAAGCGAAACAGAAAGTTAAAGAGAAACATAAAAAAAAAACTTTACCAAGCACTGCTCTGCATTCAACAACGGCGGCATCTTCCACTGCACAATTGGCGAATCAATTCACTCTCTGAGCACTATATTATTGACCTTTCAATTAAGTTGACTTCAGTAGCGCCAATTGCTCGTTTTACATAAGAATTGAACGAAAGGCGTTAAATCAATAATATAAATAACCAAAGGTGGTGGTAAACAGCAGAGACGTGCTTACATTTAAATACATACTACACATATGTATGTACATACTCTGAATATATATTTATATATATGTACAAATAACGTATGCAGTAGAAATAGTTGGCACACGACTCCCTTTTAGGTCGCACGACAACACCATTCTCATACTTCTTTCTCCGTATTTCCTACACGTATTATGAAACTGGCCGCAGCTACAGTTAAAATGTTTTAACTTTTAATGTTAATGGCCAATCCAGCTGATATCAAGCACAACTCCTACCATTTGTAGCGTAAACACAACAGAAGCACGACAACACTGTTGTGGGATTACTACATCGCCTACTCTCGCCCACTCTTGATGTGTTGTTTTGTCAATGAATGAGTTGCTTTTTTTCAGTGCATTGGACATTAATCAGCTTTGAATAACGAACGATTTTACAATTCACTTTTTGCTAGCCGCTTCCTTTCAGCAATACCGATTTAGTGGCTCAGTATAATTTTTTATCAGTTTAAATTGTGTACTTAATAAAACCAAAAGCACAAATACACGCACGTATAGTCCAAGCACATTCACACACACACACACCCACCACACATGCAGTTGAACGCTGAAGCGTTCCTGCATACCAAGTATATAAATATGTATAGACATATGCATACATACATACATATAGATTTGATTGGAATACAACTAGTAAATTTTCACACAAAAATTATGATAGTTTTTGCATTAATTAAAACTTACATTTTATTATTAAATATTGCTTAAACACATCCACATTCGTTTTATGATATTTCTCATTCGAAAATCAAACTTCTTGTATATAGAATGATAATTTTTCACAAACGCGCACAATTAACATACACTCACATAGCAGAACGCGTCGTACTTCTATCTTACTAGTGATGTGCCAATATTGATTGTTAGTCAACAAGTGTTGAATAACATTTAGTGTTGATAAATTTGCTATAAATTTAGTACACAGAGGACTTCATAATTTTGAGCTTTGTGTGTTTTCATTGCAAAATTATCATTTACATGTATTGTCAATATATCTTGAAACAAACCGATTGAACATAAAGGCACCAAAAGTGCTAAATTTAAACCAAATTACTATCGATAACTTAATGTTTTCTACGTTCACATGTATCGTTTCAATGTGTACACATCTCTAAGTGCCGGACAGCTGAGGCTGCCTCTAATTTGGAAAATATGTCTTCAACATTAATTAAATGTTTAAATATAGCGAAGACCGTGGGCAGAGTGACGTTCAAAAACTTCTTAACTGCATCACAAAACCAATTACCATCTTTGAGGTTAGTGAAAAATCGTATAATATACTGTATTTTAACTGTCGGCTCGTGCCTAATTTTTTTATATAATGCAGTCCAGCAGCTGTTGGCGGCTTACTGAAATGCGGCGTGCACACAACGGCTCCGGTACGGAACGAGCGGCTCATGGAATTCTTTGACGATCCTAAGCATTGGAGCGAAAATGAAGTGAAAGTGGGACGCGCCTGGAAAGCGGATGAACTGCGTATAAAGTCCAATAAGGAGCTGCATCAGCTATGGTATATTCTACTGAAGGAGCGCAATATGCTGCTAACTATGGAGCATGAATGCAACGATAAAATGGAAATCTTTCCCAATCCTGAGCGCATCGATAAGGTAAAAATCTCTATGGAGAATCTTGAGACAGTTGTGCGCGAGCGCAACAAGGCGTATCATCTGCTCGAGACAGGGGAGACAGGAGAACGTCCTCAGCGACAGGTGAATAACGCCTTCGGTTTGCGCTGTACGTACAAATCCTGCGAGCATGTACTCCCACCCTTCATGAACACCAAATGGATTAAGTCACGTAATTTAGCCTATGGCGGCCGTGCCGTACACAAATTCCTGCTGAAGTATCGCGAGAAACTCTACAACGCCAAACGCAAGGCCAAGAAGTAAGTATAGAACAATCAATTCAAAGCCACCGATTTAAATATGCATACATATTTATTTTAGTCGCGCACGAAATGAGGTCATGATGATTTTGAGACGGAATCCAAACTTTGATTTGGAGCTGCTGAAACGCAAATATGCCGATGTGGACATCGACAAACTACGCAGGACCGACAAAACGCGCGGACACTTCGTGCCAAAGGTTGATGCTTGAAAAATGTTCAATATTTAATTAAAATAAATGTAACACAAGTAAACTAAACTAGTTTCAAAAGCTAATCATCAAATTTAATTTTTTTGCCAGAGAACACGGCAATTTTGGGCTTTAGCTTTTGCTTGGCCACCCAAGAAGGATGCATTCCCTCTGTGCTGACTGGAGTTGGATTTGGCGCTGTAGGCACTGGAGGAGCAATTGATGTTTCTGTAATGTCCCCATCTTCACCAAACTTGATTTTCTTTCCTTTGAAATTGGTGACAATTGGCTTTTGCTGTTCATCGGCTACCCAAGCAGGATGGCGTGCATTGAAACGTGGATTCTTATAGTCCAGTTTGTTAGCCAGCGGCTTCTGTTTGCGCTGCTCCATATAATTTCGGGGCTCCGTCTCGTCCTCATTAGCCACCCGAGCGGGTAGACGTTCATTAAAACGCGTATTGTTATAGTCCTGCTTTTTGGCCAGCGACTTCTGTTTACGTTGCTCCACATAATTTTGGCGCTCCATTTCGTCCTCCGATTCATTGTTGCTATCGCCAGATAGCACAACTGCTGTTGACATATATGGCTGACCCGACTCTGTTATGAAAAACGGATCGACTACATGAGTAGGACGTTGTTTTTCCATTTCCATGGATTTGTTGCGGTTATCATTTGGTATTGATTTGTTTTCCATTTCCGTAGTTTCCTTAAGCTTAGGATGAACTGCAGCATCCATTCGCGTTGGCTTCTTTTCTTCATCTGTGGGCTGTTGCTTATTGTCATCTGCTTTGGATTTTTTATGCCTTTCCCTAGTTTCCTTAAGCTTAGGCTGAGCTGCAGCATCCATTCGCGTTGGCTTCTTTTCTTCATCTGTGGGCTGCTGCTTATTGTCATCTGTTTTGGTTTTTTTATGCCTTACATCAAGCCCAATTTGCTCACTTGTTCGCTTCTTTGATTTTGCTTTTACTTTGATTGCCGGCTTAGTTTTATTTTTTGTTTTCAGTGTGAGCTCTTCATCAGTTTCTTTGCTTTGCAGTCTTTCGACTAAACATTTTCCAGCAGGCGTATCAGTATCATTTTTCTCATCTTCTTCACATTTATGCACTTCTGGTTGATTTTGCTGCAACCATTCGAGACGACTGCGTGTCTTCTCTTTCTGTTCCTTGAGCTCTTTACGCTTGCGTCGCTTCTCCTCGGTACGCTGCACCTTAAGGCGACGTTTGCTTGTCTCCAATATTGCAGTACGCCAATCCGCATTGGCTACATTAGTTAAATCTAGCTTTAGTTGAAATTCTGCGACAAGTGTTTGGATGACTTTATTTAAGCCCAGCATAGCTATTGCTATTTCATCCGGCGTTGCTCGGCCATTGGTCAACACAGTATTATGATTTTTGCCAACTTGAAGCAGTAGTGTTCGCATGACGTCTAAACATTTGAGCGACTTAAGCTCGGACATGCATTCCACAGTTTTACGTATACGTTCCTGAATCTTTTCATTATCCGGCTGTTTCTTTAATCCTTCCTTTAATTTGCGCAATTTGTTCACCAGTTTTGAAATAGTTTGCACACGAGCTTGTTGTATTCGTTTTTTGTTGGTTATTACCTGTTGTCAAATATAATAATAAGTGCTTACATTTAAATTTGAGCTTTCACTTACCAAATTATTAAATTGTAGTTTATTAAACATTCTGCTTTAGCTCTAGCAACATGCTGTTTTTGCCCGTTGAATTGTTTTGGAATCGAAGAACTATCGAAACTATACTTTATATGAAATTTACTGCAATATCATATCCTATCGATAATATTTGGCCGATATTGAGAATTATGTGTTATTTTTATTAAAAAGAAATTGCTTATAATACAAATTGCAAAATTAAAACGACATATAAATATGACGGGATAGTATGGTTTCAAAATTATTTAAACAAAAAAAATAGTATTGTTTTATAGGAATGTCCTCAAACTCTGCCGATTATTTTATAGCAAATTGAAGGCAGTGTTGAAAAATAGCCAATAGCACACGAAGCTAGCTAACACTTACAAAATACGGCGATATAAATTCTTTCGACAAGAAAACATAAAGTCGGAGATTTTTATTACGTACAAATTATAAAATTAGTTATTGATAGAAAAAAAGTGCTATAGTATTAAGCTCGTTATAAGTAAAAAGTTAAAGTCGATTAGTTTGAATTCATGTGACCAGAAAAATTAAAACAAGGAGGAGCCGATTTAAGCGACAGCAACAAAGAAGGTCCGGCAGCATACATACATACACTCGCAACTTGCACACACACTCTCACGCACACACACACATGCATAGATAAGCCTGCACTGCAAGCCAGGAAAATGACAAATAATTGTGGTGTAAGATTTTGTATAACGACTGATAAAAAGTTTAGTGTTATTTAAATTGTGCAATCGAAACCCGTGCAATTAATGTCGATGCTCGCAAAGGGTGTATGCAACGCTTGAGTCATTATAATCCCCCTCTTTTGTGCGGATAAGTGCGTACAAGTGTGTGTGTGTGTGTGAATATGTGTGCGGGAAAGAAAAATATATAAACTAGGCAGTCAAAAACTACTGTGACTCATTAATTTATGCCTAATTATACGCTTAATTAATTTTAATCATTTTTAATTAATAATAATTTACGTATATGTACTTTTCTTGCAGTCGCCACAATCTTCAGTTGCAGCTCTCATTTTTTGAGTGGGGCGAGGAACTCACACGCACACCAATACAAGCACACGCGCCAACAAGCCCACACAGTAACATACGCATACACTTGAAAGACTAACGACTGCAATTGTAAACATCGACAGGCACTACGGAGCGAACGAAGTCAAATGACGGAATACAAGTTAGTTGTTGTTGGTGCCGGTGGCGTTGGCAAATCGGCGCTAACCATACAACTTATCCAAAATCATTTTGTGGATGAATATGATCCCACAATTGAGGACTCGTATCGGAAGCAAGTGGTTATTGGTGAGTATAGCATAAATCGATTACATTCGCAATTATCGATTACCGTACATTCAAAATGTAAACAAAAATTGAATGTTGCCAGATGGTGAAACCTGTTTGCTGGATATTCTGGACACCGCCGGTCAAGAAGAGTATTCAGCAATGCGTGATCAGTATATGCGCACCGGTGAGGGTTTCCTGCTGGTGTTTGCTGTGAATAGCGCTAAGTCTTTTGAAGATATTGGCACATATCGCGAGCAAATCAAACGAGTCAAGGATGCCGAAGAGGTGCCAATGGTGCTTGTGGGCAATAAATGTGATCTGCCTTCGTGGAATGTGCAAAACGAACAAGCACGAGAGGTTAGTTCATGTTCAATTAAATTACAACCTATAGATTCCTGTATATATACATATATTATATAATTATGTGTATAAATTTCTTAATTCGTAGGTGGCCAAGCAATATGGCATTCCATATATCGAAACATCAGCCAAGACGCGCATGGGCGTCGATGATGCATTTTACACATTGGTGCGCGAAATACGCAAAGATAAGGACAACAAAGGACGAAAAGGACGCAAAACGAATAAGCCGAACCGTAGATTTAAATGTAAGATGCTCTAAATGGCCTCGCATTGGTTTTTCTTTTTTTTTTCATTAACGCCTGTCCGGTTTGTGCATTGTGTGTGTGTGTGTGTGTGTGTTTGTTGTGTGTGCCAGATAAATGCAACAGTTTATGTATTTTGCTGTGCTATTTGCCCGTGCGGCATTTAGTTTACGCACAACTACACATGCGCACACCCACACGCAAACACACTCGCACACGCACAAGTGCGCGTGTTAGGTTGGTGCAATTGATGGGAGGATGAACAAAATTGTAATTAATTTAAGCAACTAAAATTTTATTGTATGTCAAATCATTTAATGTGCAACTTGTGTGTCGTTTTGAAATGTGGCGCCCTTTTAAAATTATTAATAATGCGTGTATGCCGTACAGGTATAAAAAACAAAAACTATGAATACTATTGTAACTGCCTTGGTTAAGCTGCTGCGATAGCGCATTTTGGAATAACCATTTGTTTTCAGTGAGCACAAAAGTAAACAAAATTTAAAACCATGTTATCTGTGTGTGTACCGTGATTAAAACGATATACGATATTTGTATGTAAATGTTTAATTTTTGTTTAACTGAAAGGCTTTTTAACTCGTATCATTTTAATAATAAGGATATATACATATGTTTACATATATTTATTTCCTTATATGTTTAATGCCAACCGCGTTTAATTCGTTCCCTCCTGCAAATACACTCACACGCACAAACACAATTCCATTAGAAAATTTCCACATGAAACGAGAAATGAAAATTTAATGAAAAGCTCACAGTTCGTATATATTTTTTGTGGTGCTAAATTCAACAACTAATACCAGCACAAAATGTATGAGTTATTTGAAAACAAAAACAAAAAAAAAGAAATCAAAAATTTTATTTTTTCTACTGATTGATCAGTTATTTAGCTTATGCAAAGCACTCTTTTGATTTAAAAATCAGACAAAAAATAAAATCGTGTATATATCATTATATATATGATTCAACTGACTTCGTGCACCTTACTCATATATACAATTATTATTTCAATTTACATATAAAGAGATTTGCATAAGCTAGACTGGAATTACGTATGTAGTAGATAAATGCTGCATTAAGCAACGAGCAGCCAATTACATACACATATATAGTTTGCTTTAAGCTTTTTATACATACATAAATTAATATTTAATTTTTTTGTATTCATTTTTGCCATACAAAAAGGAAAGTAATAAATCAATTGTGTGTACTATTTAAATACAGCGTAACGGGTTATATAGTTCGAAGGCTGCCAGATTGTTCGAAAACCGATTAACTCCGTCGGTAGCATGATAAATGAAACAAATGCCTCAAATTAAAATGTAAACAATTATATTTAAATATTTTTCTCAATCACAGTACATAAGGTAGTGTGTCTGTAATTACAATTGATTAATACATATTTTTTAAATTAAAGACAAAATGTACGAACCTTAAACTTTTGGACTTAAATGCGCTGCGTAACTTTTCAAGATCCTCCATTACATATTGTGAAAATAACCATATTGGATTTTCGAATTCATCAAATGGGGCATTTGTGATATAAAGGATTGCATCTGCTACATTAAAATTCTCTATCATATTTGGTAGTAACAGGCGCGCATCTGTCTGAAACCCTAAATTTTTGTCATCTTGAATTAACAATGCCAGATTAGCCTTTGTACCGCCAACCAAAGGGACTTCCATACTAAGTGAATAACAGCAATAAAAGTTTAAAGACAATTATATGTATATAGACAGACAAAAATATATATATAATCCATACCTGCTCTTCTCACATTTATCAGCCAGTCTGCGCAGAACTATCTGGCTGAAAAACATTGTCCGGAAATTTACTGAAGCAACGTGTAGCCAAAGCAACTCAAATACACTTTGCAATTGCTGCGTATTTAATGTATTCCATTTGCATATGCAATAGATATGAGCAACAGATATGACTGATTCCTGTTGATCGGGCTGAAGGCTACCAAGCGTCATCAGCTGTTCCTGTAGCATTTCGAATCTTGGCACAACCTTGGCCACCAGACATTCGTAGAGCAATTTGATATTCATAAGGTTTCTCGGGTTTAACAAGGCTACCCAGAGCTTGTCATTCCAATATTCAGGTATCGTTTCACCAAAGCGTTCAAGATTCAAAATTGCTCGGATGAAACGAATTTGTACTCTGTGGTCTTTTGAATTTTCAACAATTTCTTTTTGACTTATATTCGAGATGATATCAAGCATTTCATCAAATAGTTCGATTTGTCCTGTTTTCATTTTACTCACGTACGTTATGAAATTGTTCTGTTTAATGTGTTCTACCGTATTCCAGGTAGATAAACTGTTTAGATATGCACTCTCGATGCTTTAAAATTACAATAAATCAATTCACTGTAATAATATTTCAACAATTAAAACTTATCTTACCGTTCCACTCCAGTTGGATACTCGAAAAAAAGTAAGCCACTGACTAAAGTTGATTGTAATACATAATTGGTGTTATATAGTATGTTTCCCAGATCCCAGCCGCTTTTACTATTGGAAATCATTTTTTGAACGAGTATTACCGTTTTACTTGGCTCCTGATATCTAGATATATAGTTTAATATTTTTCCAGGGCTGAAAACAGAATATATTATTTTTGCTGGATATGGAATCTATTCTCGATTGTTTCGTTGTCATAATCCATAAATGGAGTCTATATAATGACCGAAAATATTCGAGCACTCACTTTAGCAAACGTCTGTTATATTTATTTAGCTGCTCTAGGAAAAAGTCAATCAAGCTCTCATCGGGCAATTTTTGGTCGTGCTTTTCCAAAAGACACGCCATATGTGACAATGTATAGAATGAGCCGGTCTCCAAAATATGAATTGGGTTCAAGTTAAATTCACCAAGTTGACTCCAATGATGTACATTCTTGTCAAGAAAATGTTGAAGGCTTCGTTGCTTTACAAAATATATCTCGTCCGATGTTTGGCATTTTAACTTGTCAATTAGGTGTTGCTGTAACTCGTTCAGATCCTTGCACTCCTCGATGAAATCAAAATTTACGTCATATCTTGTACGAAAGAATTCCCTAGCTTCCTTTGAACTGAAGGTAGAAAAAAATGCGGGTAGACGCCACCAGCCGTGCAAATCTGTTGGCACAGAATCAAGTTTTCGCACTAGCTCCTTGAGTGAACTCCACAGATTATTGTCATTATGCACATCACGAAAGATCTCGTAAGTGCTCTTAGTGAGATGAACAATATCTTCTTTCATGTCATCAGAACTATCAATTAGGATTTGCAGTATGTCTGTAAGAAGGCCGTAAACATCTTCGTTGTCTCGATAGAGCGTCTTAACGAATTCTATGAATTGGGGCAACGATAAGCTCTCGATGGATACCTGAAATGGAATATGTTATTAAATACTATTTCGCATATATATAACAGCTCACTTACCTCAAATAGATCACAGAGGAGATCGCCGGCACTGTTTCGTAAGCTCGTGTTGTCTATTTTTCGCACGTGTGCAGCTAAATTGAGCAGCAAATTATTTTTTATTTGTGGCTGCTTCCTCGGCTCTAGGCAGCTCAGCCAGCGATGCAGTGGCACCCCAGTCCAGGGCACCTCAGCCAAGGCCTTTACGAACTGTTTATTATTATCATTTTCAGTGACAAACTTCTTCATTTTGGTCTCCTGGATAGGATTGCCCTCCAAGTTGTGCAGTTCCAGATGGTTGGTAGCTGAAAGGAATTCGATCAACAAATTCGCACTGAAGAGTTCAGCAACAGTGAAGTGGTCCATTATGAAATCGATGATGACGTGCCGCATTGGGATATTTGTAGTTTGCAATAGTCGGATATATAGAATACGCATCCAGTTGACATCGATATTTTTCTCCTTTAAGAGGGATAAGGATATTGATTTTTGCTCTATTTTGATGCATTCCATTACGCTTATATAGGAGTACAAATCCAGATTTTCAGAGCGAGTGCTGTCCAGTAACTTATTCAGAATCAAATAACCTGAATTGCGCTCCTCATTATTCTTCGACTCGAGGAGTTTTTTTACACGGCAATAAAGTTTTGAAGAGTCGATGAATTTAGGTCCTAATTCGTGTAAAATATCATCGAATAATTGCCCGAGCTCCTGGCTCTTCTCGTTGTTTGCGGTCCTGGAGCACACTTGTCTCAAGAGGAACTTGCCTCCTTCAGGGAATCGACTCGTCCACATTTGTACGCACAGCAAAAAGTCGGAAACTAGTTGAGAATTATATGTCTGCACCTGTTGATCGTCTTTTGTGCTGGGCACTACCACTGCAAACAGTTTTCGAATCAACTTCGATGCCAAATGCAGATTTTCACTGCTGTTTGTGTTGAGCAAACCGCATACATATTGTATCAGTCGCTTTAACTGGGGTTCCTTGGTCGAGTCCACAAAATCCAGGAGAATGTCCACCAGCTCCATGGCTGTTGTGTTGTCCACTTCTCCAGTGGTATTCGCTTCCAACATAGCTGAGCCTAAGCCTATGAATACAACAACAATGAAAACTAGACGATTCATAAACAATTTAAATTTTGATTTTTTTTAGATATTCTGCGATAGTTTATATCAAAAATAGTGGTATTAAAAACAGCTGATGAGACACGCCTTCGTTTAATGTGCCAGAGATCAGCTCTGGCAGCTAATAGCACTAGCCAGAGAAACCGAAGTGTCCGGCACGTTTGAGTGATAGTAGGTTAGCAAAGAAGTCAGCTGTTTTAACAGGATGACGTCATTATTTGAGAAAATGGTGGGCGCGCGTTTAAATTAGTATGAAAATCAAGCAATTTATAATCTAATCACAAGTTCTACAAAGATTGACGAATCGGAAAATATAGCAGTGGCGTTGTAGCTTAGCTGTTCATTCCAAGAACTCGTTCAATGAACAATGAATTGATGACGTCATACTGTTAACGCAGCTGACAGCCTTGTACCAACTATTATTATTTTCCTTGTTATGACATTTATTGGGCATTATTATGTACATACATATGTATGTATGTATGTACATAGATTTACCGCTAACATTTTATTAGTATTTACGAAAAAGTAAGTATCAACTGCGACTGGCATTTGTTGGATTCATATAAAAAATATTTAAATACGTTTTTGCTTTTTCACGTTTGAAAAACATTTAACAATGCACCGATAAATCAATAGTTTATTAATAGTTAATAATACTTAACAATGTAAATTTATTGTAGAGTAAAACTATGTACTTCGTGGCCCGCGGAAAGCATTACTGTTTCGGGTGTGGTGGGTGCGCCGAGCCTGACCCACTCTCGAGGCAACCCGGCATCCTGTCTAGCTGCCTGTATGGCATGTTGCAGGGCAAAGAGTACGCCCACTGCGAGACATAAAGCTGGCTCTCCCGTGGCCTTTGAACGCAGAAATCCCACTGGATTGGGACTTTTTTGCAGCAGTTCAATGCGGAAATCAATAGGTATATCCTTGGCACCTGGAGGATGATAGTTCCAGGTACGGTTTGTGAGTAGGCGACCCGTCTGACGATCATAAACCAGATGCTCGGTGAGATAATAGCCCAAACCCATGACGAAAGCTCCTTCAATTTGACCAACATCAATATTGGGACTAATACTCTCGCCCGCATCCTCAAGGATGTCTACGCGGCTTATTAAGTGGTTGCCAGTCAGAATGTCCACCTCTACCTCGGTAAGACTTAAGCCGTAGATGCTGTAGTCGCTTTGATCGCCCTTTTTGAACGATTCGGTGGCAATCAAGCTGATGGACTGGTTGAAGGCTGCCTCCACTACCTGTTGCCAGCTAGCCTGGGATCCCAGTCTACGTTTAACCGGTTCCAGGCGCTGGTTCAGCTTATCGCAGCACTTCCGAACGGCAATGCCCACCAACTCGCTTGCCATAGAGTTGGCTGTCACAAAGGAGTTAGCTCCCAATATCGTATTAGTGGTCTCGATTCGAACACGCTCAAGGGGAACGCCCAGCACGAGGGCAGCCACCTGGGCCACTTTTGTATTTATGCCTTGGCCGATCTCGATGCCCCCGTGAGATATCACCACAGAGCCGTCCGCATGATAAATGGCCACCGTCGCAGGGTAAGCTAGGGCAACGTTCACAGTTAGAGGAAAGTCCATCAAAGCTAGCCCCAAGCCCCGCTTCCGCCATCGATTCTGAGCATTGAACAAGTTGATTTGCTCTCGCCGCTCGCGATACGTCGTGGAAGCGAGAAATCGGGGAAGAAGCTGCACCATCTTGGTTCCCGGTCGGAGATTCACAAGTCTCACATCAGCTGGATCCAATTTGCAGGCGAAAGCGATGTTCTCCAATGCCGTCTCAGTCATGGCAATGGCTGGGAATCGAAACACGGGAAACCCGATTGTAATACATTTCCCTCTAGTACTACAAGAGATGGAATAGAGCTAGAGAAAATCGAATTATCTTACCCTCTGCTGTCCCTGGTGCCCGACACCACGTTGAACTAGGTGCATCTGTTTTCACAGCAGTGCCTTTAACCTTAAAGTTCAAACTAGTCAGATTATAGACATTTTTGAGTGTTGGTAAGGTGAGGAACTCCACGACATTTTCGTTAAAGCTGCATCCCGCATCCTCGTAGTAGTTATTTGTGAGCATGCGAATCGAGCCGTTTGCACTGGCTTGGAATTCGTAATCGGAACGACACGCCCATCGCTTTCCATTTGATTCCATCATAGACTCAATGGTCTGCACGAAACGTGCTGGCCGATTTAATTTAAATGCAACTAGAGCACAGGCACAGGCAACCTGGTTACCTCGTGTTACTTTAGCACCATATGCTCCGCCAACTCGGCGCACCTGTAATTGAACGGCATTCGCATCCAGCTTAAGCATTCGGGATATGCTCGCTTGGGTCACATCCATCCATTGCGTGGCGCTCCAAACCTGCAGTCCTTGTTCATTAGGAACCACTACTGTCGTTTGTGGCTCCATGGTGAAATGGTATTGTGACTCCAACTCTAGAATTCCACGGCCCACTACATCGCCTGGCCTTAGTGGCGTTTGGGCAAGCTCCTTATTGAGCTCCGTGCATACCACCAGACGATCTTCCACTTTGGCTGACAGAACTGCATTCATGCTGGTGTAAATCTTAACCTGATCATTGGCATAGGTCACCTGTACCAAACTCGCCGCATAGACGGCCACATCGTGTGTCAATGCTGCAATTACTCCCAATGGCTGATCATAGTAAAGTACACGTCCAGCACAAAATATTTCCTCCACATCACCCGGGACGGTGAATAATGTTGTATTGTTGAAATTATTGTCGCCCGGAATGTCCTTGGACCCATAGAACGCAACCACGCCCTTGCACTGGAGCGCGGGAGCTGAGTCGATCTGCTCTATAGTTGCACCCACTCGCTTGGCCGTGACAAAGGCGCAGTGCACAGCATTAGAGGTGGTCAGCAAATCGTTGATGTAGATGGCTTCACCAGAGCACTGAATGAGACCTAGCGAAAGTAATGGAATTCCAACTTGAAACAGCTCTCTAGTATGCTCGGAATAAATATGGGTATACCTTCCAACTTCTGTACTGGCTTAGTCACGGGATACTTATTTGGTATGGTCTCGAATGATTGGCTGCCGGAGGAAAGCGGACGCTCTAGCAGCTTACCACCACTGTGAAAACGCATTCGCACGAGCTCTTCGGGCGCCGAGCCAAGCAAAAACTTGTAGAAAAGCGAACAAGCTAGTTTTTGACGATACTCAGGCGATGCCTCGGGCGGCATTTCCACTGCCTGCAGACTTATCAGCAGCTGCTCGAAAACCTGCGCCACTGTGGAGCTGTCATACAAATCCCGACCCACCAACAACTGCTCGACATGCTCGGCGTGAACATAGTCTGGCCTGATGTTTCCAAAGCAAAGGCGAGCCGAAGCCACTATGCGATGCTGAAGGTTCTGCCACTCGATCAGGAATCCACTATTAACATAGGCATGAACGTTTTGGGCACGCGGTAGGATCTGTTGGAGAGGGATGATTATGAAAGATTCATACCATTCTGTTTTAAACTAACCTTGTAAGAATTGAACAAGAATTTGGACTTTGGATAAGACCTCAGAATAAATCCGCCAATAACCAGTTTGGGCGTAGTATCCTGCAGAAAGGACAACAGAGTCATTATCCGTTGACTGCTCGCATTATCGTGCACCAAGACATGAGCATCCAGAGCCTCAAATGTGATGAAGACATCCGAGGGGAACTCCGGGTGCTGCTTCTTAATTGAAATATTGCCCGCCAGTGTTCCATTCTAAAATTGAATATATATTCTTGTTATGGCTGTAAACTTGAAATCGCTTCATTTAAATTTCAAGTCATTAATGTCAATTCACTTTCTGTTTACATACACATATGTGGAATTAGGAGTGCGCCTGAAACAAGTTTTAAACTGGATTATACGGATTTATGGCCACCACTTACACTCCGCACTGGCACATTCGCAATCAGGTTGAAATGCTGCCACAATTGTGCGCAGTATTCGAAGCCCGGGCGTTGTTCGGCCTGTTTGAAGAGCTGCATTGTCTCCGTGAGAGTCAAATTGGCGCCCAGCAAGAGGTGGTCTGGTTCAATGCTGTGCTGCTTTAGCTCCGGCACCATGTTGACGTCCACATAGTGCTTTAAACTCCTCGACCGCCTGTAGACGCCATGCGCCGTGTTGCCTGCCACCAGAATATACTCCTCTCCAGTGGGCACCTGGGCGAGGGCTGCGAACAGTTCGACCAGAGTCTTGGGCCAGTACCAGTGACTGTTGTTCTGGGCAGGAAGGGAAGGGCGGGAGCAGCTACCACTGCAGCATTGACCCGTGCGTGGACAGAGCAACTCAAAAGAGTCCTCGATGTCCACGCACTCTGCCGGTACCTCAATGGTGCTGTCCACTGCAAAGGACTTCATGGCATCCAATATGGGCCTGTAGCCGGTGCAGCGGCAAATGTTTCCCCCAAAGCCATCTTCCACTTCAGCCATGGTCACGCGGCCACCACGACTCTCCAGAAGCCCGTACATGTTCATTACGAATCCCGGCGAGCAGTATCCACACTGGGTGCCGTTAAGTTTGGCAAGACGCTTCTGTATGGGATGATAGCCGCTGCTCTTATTGCCCAGCCCCTCATCGGTAATAATGTCCACATCGTTACAGGTATTAAGCAGGGTTAGGCACTTTAAAAGAGGTATGGTAGAATTTAGCTGAAACAATCCATTGTCCATCTGAATATAAAATTTACCGAGTTCGTGGCCCGGGAGCTTATTTCCCCCGTAATGGGATGACGACGTCGTGTTAAACAAACACAAGATCCACAGCCGCCCTCCAGGCACATATATTTGGTGGCTGTTAGGTGAAGATGTTCTCTCAGGAAAGTATTTAGAGTGATGTCCGCCGCGTAATCGTGCGGCTGCACTTCGTACGGGAAGCCATTTACATTGAACTTGATGCTCATCCTGGTAGAGTTGGCTGTCGAATGCTGAGTTCATGGCTAAGCTCTTCTATTTAAAGCCTCTGTTGACAGTAATCAGGTAAAAGCTGAACGAGTTTCTGCTGGCGGTCAGTCTTTGCAATACACAGCAAAACCCCATATAACATATGTATGTGTATGTATATATTTTATATATGTTTAATTTAATTTCTTTTTAATTAATCTTTTTCAGCACTCTTATACACCTTTCTTAAAATACGCTTTTGAACGATAGCTTTATATATAAACACGTTTATATCTCTATAAACACACATTTATAGTATAGAATTGAATAATTGTATAGTGATCCAATATAATCACCGGCACAAACATGTTTAAGAAACTTGTATGCTGTACGAAAGAGTATAAGACCTAATTAAACTTGAAGTCCAAAACATTTTAGTAATTCACTGAAAAAACCAACTCATTGAGTTTATCACCATGTATCAGAGACAATATTTTGTGCTGATAACGCAAGTTTATGTCAGTTCAACTGGATATATAAATGCTGTTTATACATACATATGTACATATTTGTTAAAAGTATCTTTAATAACCCACTTTCATAATTTTAGTTAAGAAATTAATAATAATCTTAACAAAAGGTTAACAGATTAAGCTCATTCGGATTTTCATATAATATTGATTTAAATAGAAAATATTTGAATTCTTCCTAACTTCGGAAATGTGAAGATAAATTTAAATTGCGATACAATTTAGCCGATAAGTAGTCGATAGTTTTCGATTGCTAATATCGTACGGAACTAGCTCGATTTGTTCATACACAAATTTAGTTCCACCTCCGCACATCTCGAATTTTTTTCTCACGGCAGGCGGCATATGTCCACTTTATTGATTATTGTATTTGTGTTAATGTAAAAACAGTTCAATTGCAAAAAAATATCAATAAAATTATTTCAATACAAAGTTACAGCATAAAATACTTTAATGGTGAGTACAGCGCATAAAACCACAAGGCAAACTGCATAAAAGGCGCAACGACGCCGCAAGTCGCCATCTTTTTTTTTCGCAATGACGCCGAGGAGCGCGTTAGTGGAATGAGAATTTGTTTGATTTTACACTTGAGAATTTTTGCAGCAGGCAGCCATGAATATGGACGCAAATGCTGTCGAGAATCGCGAGAAAGAGCGTGATCGCCGAGGACGTGGCGCACGCGGCTCCCGCTTCTCAGATGCGGATGGTAACAATGGAAACGCCGCTGGTGGCGGAGGAGGCGGTAATAATGCACGCGACAGAAGTCGCGAAAGACGCAATTGCCGCGTCTATATCTCGAACATTCCGTATGATTATCGTTGGCAAGACCTGAAGGATCTATTCCGGCGCATTGTTGGCTCCATTGAGTATGTGCAATTATTCCATGATGAAAACGGCAAGGCACGTGGCTGCGGTATTGTCGAGTTCAAAGATCCCGAGAACGTTCAAAAGGCGATGGAGAAAATGAATCGATATGAGCTTAACGGACGTGAGCTAGTCGTCAAGGAAGATCATGGCGAGCAGCGCGATCAATACGGTCGTATTGTGCGCGATGGAGCAGGGGGTGGCGGTGGAGGCGGTGCTGGTGGGGGAGGAGGAGGAGGAAACGGTGGAGGTCGAGATCATATGGACGATCGTGACCGGGGCTTCTCGCGACGTGACGATGACAGAATGTAAGTAATATATATATATAGCATATCTACAATCGTTTTTCTATACTCTAAGCACATTTAGCAAATCACAACAAGGAACGAATATGTTCGATGTTATTGATAGGAAAAAAAAAACAACTTCAAGTGTTGTTGACATTTTATAATTAAGGGCATCCATTGCTTAAGATTCATATCGGACATTGTCATATGCTAATGTCAGCGAAAGATTGTATACTTTATGTAAAGACGAATGTCTGTTGCAGGGCTTAATGATCATTCTACTTTGAATTGTGCTGATAATTTTACTTCGTACAAGGAAAAAAACAGCTTGGGCCTTTTTTGATTATTGGATCCACTTGGAGTCCTTTTTAAGAATTCAGTTCACCGGTCGGCAATATGTTAGCTTCATCAGAAGGAAAATTACCATATTTAAGTTATTTAACATCTCAACGTTTTTAGACGATGCTGGAGAGCTGTGTATCCCTGTGTCTCTATAGTTTTGTTTTGAGTACTTTTCCAGTAGTATCAAACAACTGTTTATTGCTAAATTTGTTCTATTTCTACATTCGGGGCTTACTTTTGCATTTGTAAATTTGTTATAAAGGTTTCAGTTGAATTTTGGTCCAGCATTGCTTTATGTCGTTAAAGTTGATGAATTAATTTACAATGTGTTTGATGTAATAAAAGTTAGATTTAGCCGACGATTACAAGCTGTCAAATATTGGCCATTATAGAACTTTATATATGCTTTAAGAAAAAAGGTTCAAAAAAATGAAAAGAAAACGATCAATAGCTGTTATGAGCTTGTGTTTAATACTTAAAGGTTACACGTTAATCTCGACGTTCTGGAATCTAATCTCTATCTTTGTTTGTAGCTTAGATGACATGGTATGATGTGCGTGCGCTTTTCGGATACTTGTATTTGTTGTGCTTTTTATCTCTTGCTCTTGTTATTTTTTCTCTCTGGACTTTTGGCTTCTTTTTCTAGATCTGGGCGTAATAATTTTAACATGATGTCTAATGATTTTAATTCGTCGAATTACAATTTGTATGGGCTTTCTGCTTCGTTTTTGGAGAGTCTTGGCATAAGTGGACCTTTGCATAATAAGGTCTTTGTTGCTAATGTGAGTATATGTATAATAATAATAATAAACTATGACCAAAATCAAGAAAAGAAAAAAGAACAATACCGTTACCATTACCAAAACCAACCATAATTATAAACATACATATCTTCTATATGATAGATATGTTTTCCAGCTTGTGTACTCTTTGCCCAGTTCTTTTTAAATAGTAAATTGCTTTATTCTATCTAAACCACATGTATTGATTACTTTTTCACCATGTGCTCTGTTTCGTATTTATAACCCAACTAAAAAAATAATGTGTTTTATTGTAAATTGTTTGTGGGTAAAATGCTGATACAAATTTACTTTGCCAATCTACTAAATGACTTTTTTTTTTCTCGGTGTACACTTGAAAATGTTTACCACATTATAGTAAACAATCTTCTCTTCCGAATAATTTACTGTTATTGAAACTTTGATGTTGTTTGCTGCCTTTCTAAAGGAAAGTAAACAACTATCCGTTTTTGAGTAACTTCTATTGTCCGATATCTTGTAATAAATATAAAAATTCGTGTAATTGGATCTGCTATCTATCGGTAAATATGGTATTCAATGTCGATAATAACTGTTGAGATAGGCTTGGGCTTACGCCAAGCACTGCTAAATTGATCAGTTGCAGCTGAATCGCCGTTAACTTGAGAATGGGAATATCACGAAATTATTAAAAGAAAACGGTCAACGGGAAGTTGTAAAATTGAAATGAATTTAAAAAAGAAAATATTCGTATTGGAAATTCAATGATTTCAGTTTATTGACCGTCGACAATATATGAGTAACGTGGATCTTTACCTTAATCGCTCTGCGTAGTCAATTGACCTATTCACAGAATTATTGTTGCATAGTGCTCTGATGCAATAAGTAAAATGCAGTTCAAATTTATTTGTCAACTGGTTTTGTTTGTCCCGCCCGAGAATCGACAGTCTTTCGAGTGGTTGTGTTACCTGCAGCTGGGTTATAAATATGAAACAGTCGGTTAAACTGCGAGCCTGCTGCGTAGGTTTTGGGTTAGCCAACTGGGCCAACGGCTTGATCCTTGTGTTCCTTCCTTCAGACTTTGTTTGCTCCTAGTGGAGGTGGCAGCCGGAGTCAGTGTGGATGAGTGTTTAAACTGGACAATGCTTTTAATGCTGTTTCCAATGATGATGCTCAAAACAAACTCTTTTACTTAAATTACTAAATTTTGGTGTTTGTTCTATCACAGCTGGACTACAAAGTGGACAGCAAGAAGCTCAAGCAAGTGTTCAAGCTTGCCGGAAAGGTGCAGAGTGTGGACCTATCCCTGGACAAGGAGGGACACAGTCGTGGTTTTGCTGTAGTTGAATACGATCATCCAGTGGAGGCCGTACAGGCCATTTCAATGTTGGATCGCCAGATGCTCTATGATCGACGCATGACAGTACGTTTGGACCGAATACCCGACAAGAGTGAAGGTCTAAAGCTGCCTGAGGGATTGGGCGGCGTTGGCATCGGCCTAGGGCCCAACGGTGAGCCACTGAAAGACGTGGCCCGCAATCTGCCGAACGGCGGCAATCAAAACGCCTCACAGCTGCTTGGCAATGTGCAGGGCGCTCAGCAATTGTCCGCGGTTCCTGGCGGCGCGGTTGTTGGCGGCGGTAACTCAAACGCAAATTTGCTGGGTAGTCTCAGTGGAGTCATGTTCGGTAACAACGCTGCTGTGCAACCCTCTCCTGTGGCGCCAGTCCAGAAGCCGAGCATGGGCAACAATGCTGGCGGCGGCGGCGGTGGCATCAATCTGAACAATTTAAATCCCAGCAACTTGGCTGCTGTGGTTGGCAACTTGGGTAACCTGGGAGCAGCGTTGTCCAACCCACTGCTCACTTCATCGCTGAGCACCCTAGGTCTCAATTTGGGGAACACTGGTGGCAACGATGATGGACTCGTCTCCGCCAGCAATGTTGGCCTAACCAACAACTACAGCAGCGGTGGCGGCTATGGTAATGCCGGTAACAACTATAATAGTGGCGGCAACAGCGGCGGCACTGGCGGTGGTGGTGTCTCTGGTGGCAATGTTGGGTTCAATGCCTACAACAGCAGTTCTGGTGGTGGCACAAATTCCGGAAACAATCAGATCGATGGCAATGACTACGGCAACTCGGGCAATCAGTTGGACATGTTTGGCGGCGGCGGTGGTAACGTGGGCGTTGGCGGTGGCAATGTCGGCGTTGGTGGCGGCGCTGGCAACCCCGGCGGCGGTTCCCGTAAGTCTGATACGATCATCATTAAGAATGTGCCATTGAGCTGCACCTGGCAAACGCTGCGCGACAAGTTCCGTGATGTTGGCGATGTCAAGTTTGCTGAGATACGTGGCAATGATGTGGGCGTGGTGCGATTCTTCAAGGAACGCGACGCGGAGCTGGCCATCGGTAAGAGATCAATGCATTCGCATTTATTATGTAGACAACTTTTAACAATCTGCTTAATCTACAGCTCTCATGGATGGCTCCCGTCTGGATGGTCGCACCATTAAAGTAAACTACTTTTAAGCTGCATCCCCCAAAATTGTAGAAAGCATTGTCCGTGTGAATGAACCGCATAAAAATCTAGACACGACCACCGGTTTACTTTAACCAAGAGCAAACAGCAAAGCAAAGCAGACGTGGCTAGGTTATTATTGCAATGTTTTTAGTTCATAGTGACCACAAACAAATAATTGTTTAATTTTTATACATACGTTTACATTAATCATAACAAAAAATGATCATAATATATAAATAATTGACTTTCCAAAATACAGAAGACGCAATTCATCTAATTTATAAGTGATTGAAGCCAATAAAAATATGAATAATATTAAACAAAAAATTATATGTTTGTTCCTGCCTTAGATTAGAAGTTGGTTAATCTCTTCGCACAGTTTGTCTACACCCATACTATTTAGGTGGGTTATATACTGTCTATAAACATTTTATTCCTTAAGCAAGTACGATCTACACGACAAAAATTAATTTTATAACCACAATAAATGCTGATTATCTGTGCATTAAAATAGAAGCATTGGGTTCTGATAGCCTGTTTGAATTAGTTATGTATTTATTTTGTCTGTTAATAATCGATATAGCAGCTAGTTGAAAGGTTAATCCAACACTGCACAGCTTAAATGTAATTGATTCTGTGCAGTTATTATCTTGCTTAACAGCTACATGTATATAATTGGTGGATGATTGTGGCTTAAATTAAAAAGTGGATGCTCAGCTGAGTTGTCACTTATTTTGTCGGTGCGGCAGCAGCCGCTGGTGCAATTTTAAAGCGTTCCAGGCGTGCGCGCGCCTTTTCAGCCCATTCGCTCTTGGCTTTTGGATCGCTGGTAGCTGCAGTTGTTGTGCCAACAGTATTACCGAACCGTTCCTTACGCTTTTGCAGCCGCTCATCGACAGTAGTTTTCGGGCTCTTCTCCGGCACCACACAGCCAAAGCGTTCGGCACGCCTCTTCAAAGCCTCCTTTTGCTGTTCCTCCGTTTCCTTGTTGCCCTTGTTAGCCTTTATTGAAGCCGACGAAGACTTGTTAACCGCTGGTGAAGCAGTTTTAGCTGGAGCAGCAGCGGCTTTCGCATCGAGGGCAATACCAAACTTTTTGGCACGCATCTCTAAACGCTCTTGTGCGCTTAGTTGGGTTAGCTTCTTGTCGGGAGCGGACGTGGAGTCTTTGGTTTGCGTTGCAGAGCCACCAACCACGATTGGCTTTCGATTCGTTTTTAAGGGCTTATCAGCCTCCAATGATTCAGCTACACTGCCCGCAGTATCAGGAGCGGCATTCTCCTTCGATGGCGTTGCCGTTGCTGTCGTGACCGTTGTCAATAGCGGCTGCGAGTTATTTCGTTTGAGCACGATTTTTTTAGCTGGCGGCGAAGTGGCATTAGCATCTGGATTTGAATCGGTCGCCGTTTCTGTTGGAGATGATAAATCTGGTATTGTTGTTGTCGTAGGCGTGTTCACTGGGCTCTTTAACAGCAAGTCCTCGTGATCTTCGCCCAATAACTTATGCTCGTCCTCATCCGTGAACGAAACATCGTCACCAATAGCGTCATTTATCGCGCTATCTTCCAGCGAAATGTCGCCTTCCAGTAACGCCGTTTGCAAGCGGTCTTGTAATTCATTTTTATTGCCGTTCAGTGGCAGCCCACGCAGCTTCAGCTCTCGCTTTAAATCCGCAACCTGGATTGGTTAAAACATGTTTTGTTGTTGTACATTGATTAATAATATGAAAGTTACTCACCTTCATTTTGGTAACGTCGCTTTCGGGCATTTTAATTGTGTTTTTAATTTTTTAATTTGCGGCACAAACAAGTTTTCTATCAAGTAAATTATGGCAAGCAGTATGGTAGCCCTCTATGAAATAGTGTCAAGTTATCGATAATTTCATTTGCTGTTATTAACAGAAGTGCTCTACAATGTTATCAATGCACAAGACTAAGTGATGTAAAACGCAAAAGAAAAACCGCTTAGAATCAATTTCTCACACATTGATTATAATTTATAAATCGTTTTGGGATTAAATATACATATATACGAGAGAATGTGCAAATGATATGATGATATGTGTAAATGGTGGCCCGGGACTCGACGATTTCCTCTGATGTTCCATTGGTCATTAAACCCGCACTAATGTTTTTGGTGTCCTGAGCCACTAACCAGACTGGTTAGTGCTAGTAGTTTTCAATTAGTATTAATTTTTATTAATTTTTTGGTATTTTCGAATTCACATTATATGGCCATACTGCACATGAAGAGCTTCGCATCAACAATGACTTACGAAAGTTAACGTACCAATCAAGACTGATTTTTCTAATGCACTACATGAGTGAGCGTGTATATTGTAGTTGTACATATATGCGCTCGTCTGTTTTTATGCATTTACAACATCTTATTCGTATTCAAAAACATTTAGACACGCTGACAAGCAGACATTAAAATCGCTACATGATCGAAAGGAATCCGACCGGAAACGGGAAAATGAATGCAATAACATATTGGGCCTATTTCTGCATGGACCCGCCATGAGAATATATTGTTGCTGTTATATAGAACATAGGTTCAGTTCAGGGTATTAAAACGAAAGCGAAGGTAACCGAATGGGGAACGTGTGGATGCTTCGGCGCCCTCAGGGTGACCTTGAATTGTAAGTGTATTGCTGATAAAGTGTACTGATTTGAAGTGAACACCGGCGTGCCACAGCACCTGTTCTCTTCATCGCACACACACACACTGTTACAAAAATGCTCTTGAACACACATGTTGCTCATGTGGCAGATAAGTAGCTGTATCTAATTGGCACTGCAGCATACTTATATTTATTAATAATTTTTCCGGTCTTCCCTTTGTGGAGGCCACGGCCCACGCATTAACCTTTTGCCTGTCAGCATTTAAAAAGAGTTTGCCGCCCTTTAAGGCATGGGCATGAGCGTGAACATGAGCACGGACATGGGCAGTGCAATAATAATTATAATTAATGCCTAATCTGCTGGCAAACGTGAATTGTGTGCTGTGGCTGTTCCACTTCCTTGGCCATGCCTTGGCCGTATATAGGGGAACTTTAATTACAGTTACAACGACTTAACGGGCACGCATAGGAGCACGAGTGAGCGGTCAAGTCGTTGATTAATTGGTCATGACAGTCGCGTTCAGGTTCTTCATATACGGATTACGCAATAACGAGTTGAAGGCGTTACTCAATGTAAATTCTAGTTTTACTGTTAATTAAGTGTTAATCTTCTGTGTTCAAAGCATTTTAACAATTATTACGACGTTTAATTATAATCTTTGATTGCGGTTAATGTTATTAAGGTACACGGAATCTGAGAAAACCCTCAATGACTAATAAAATGAAATGTTTTAAATTATATACATACATATGTACGTAAATACTATATAATATTATTCATTAAACACTGAGCATTTGCTTAAAGAGAGTAGCTGCTGGATTTCGATAGGCCTTATCATCCAGCAGCAGCAGCGTTCCTTTGCCCAAACTGATCCAAGAAATCTGAATGAATATATGCATGTAAAACTCCCTCTTTACTAAACTACATGACCTGAACTACTTTTAATGTTTTTATTATTATTTCTATTATGACTATCTCTAAAATAAGTTCTTATTTGCTTTATGGCTGAATGGCGTTGCTCCTAGCTGAGCTTCCAAAACACTTTTACTTCAATAACTACGCTCAATTGCTCAAAACGATTTTCATTTAGTGCACTTTTGCTCTTACGCCTTCAACGAATGTTCTCTCCGCTCATCGACTTCTCTCCGCATTCGGGCGGCCTGTGGTTGGGCTGGGCCACCAGCCAGTGCCCTCTCAGCGTCTTCTGCCTGGTGCTTGCTCTCAGTTGCGTTTCGACTACCCGAGTGATCGGTTGTGCCAGCTGTGTAGCTATCGTGTTTTATACTGAGTGTTCAAGTGTTGCCGTGCTGCGTCGTGCTTCCAAATACGTTCACTGATCAACAGACGTCATCGCTAGAGGCGGACGTGTGGCTCGATTGATTTGTTGCAAACAACAATAGTATATTTATATATATATACATACATATATTTAAACAAAAACAAAGCGAGAATACAAGTGCGAGTATATAAAAGTACGTGCTGTGTGCGCTGCAATTGAAATTGCACGCAACTTTAATTTGGCCGTAACGCCAAAGCCCCATACTCAATACAAAATAATAATACACATATAAAAATACATACATATACTTGGCTTTGCTGACCTTGTGCAACTGCGTATCTTAAACTATGCGTATGTGTGTGTGTGTGTGTGTGCGTGTGTGTCTGTGTGTATGTTTTGTGTAAACATCATTAACATAATCAGTAGAAAGCATCTTGACAACAACCTGTTCACTGCATTCTGGGCTAACACAACTTCTACTTCCATTGGTGCTGCTGTTGTTATTGCTCTTTTTGCGTTTTCTTTTTCGATTTTTTGGTATCGTTTTCGTGATCACTTCTTTATCACCTGAGTCACTTTTGTATGGCGCTCACGTCACACGCTCACACAAACGCCCGCCCAATGGCTCTGGCTCTGACTCTGACTCTGTCTCTGCCTCTGGCTGTGGAATGCCAACCAGCTTTTTGATTACAGCTGCTCTCTCGCTCCCCCACACACGCGCCGTCTTTGTCTGCCACTCTCTCGCTCCCTCTCTCATTCTATCTATTATTTGTTGTTGTCTGGCTCTCTGGCTCTGTTTTAGGCCCGTTACCATTTTTAGTTAACAACAATTATATGGCTGCCTATCCATTAAAGGCCAGCTGGCTAGGACACGTGTGTATGTGTGCGCTATCACAGGAAACCTTCAAGTACGTGACAACTAAAGGCCCCCTCTACACCCAATACTTTGCCGGCGATCTGCATCAAATCAACAATCAATCTAATACGACCTATGCCATAAAATATGACCCCAATTAATTAAACTAATTGACGGCGTGTGCGGTGCGAGACCCCTAGCCAAATCGCAACAAATTTCCCCACATGTATATACATACATATGTATATGTATATGTATAGTATATTTATATATTTGTGGTCTAACGGTTAACCAGCTTCATAGTTGCACTTATCATGCTTTCCAGTTGATTTCATTTTTATATGGCGCAGAGGAATAATCGCACACACCTATGTACATATACACATATATGTATATCTTATCTAATCTCTTCATTAAATACGAAAATACATAGAGAACCCATAAAACAAAATACACATACATACAGACGACATATGTATGTATATAAAAAAATGTGAATAACAACAGTTCTTTTTTACGGTTGCCATACGAGGTTTATAAGAACAATTGATCTTAATACTACATACATGTGTAAATAGGTAATAACCTAAAGCAGATTATGCGCTAATCAACATTGTATTGAGTACTTTGATCTCATGAGATATAATATACTCAGTTTATTACAAATCTGTTCAATTCGTCTGGGAAAATGTAATCATTTGCAATCATTTCAATTATCAGACTTTCTGACAATTTATTCAGCTTTACTTTTATATAGGAAAATGACGGAATGATAAGAATGTAAACATATTGAAATATGTCCATTGAAGTGAGACACTGTGAAACCTGACAATATTTTGTATAAAGTGTTTCTGGGACCATTGGAATTTCTCATTTCATTTTGTAATCGAGTGTAATGGAAAAACATCTGCAACTATCGCTCATAACTTACTGTTTGACTCTAATGAGTATATAAATAATACTCATAAGCGAGTGCTTTTCTTGAATAGGCACACACGCACACACATAAATATTTATATACATGGCTATATAATGTAATAATACATTCACTGCATCTACAGCCTATACGTATTCGTACTCGTTTAATATGATGCACAATGCGATTACAAAGCGCTGATAAAGTCACAAAGGAGTGTGGGCTACAGCTGAAGATGCTAAAGAGTGTCCCAGACATAAGTAATGGCATATTTCTTGCATATACATATAAGCTCTATGTGTATATACACACATATATGTATATGAATATATTCAATAAACTCGCTTGAGCTAAGAAATAATGCAAAGAATGATCCATTAATTCGCATTAAGCAATTTTTGAATTTAAGCGGACTATTGGAGAGAGACAGAGAGGTAACGGCAGAGAGGAAAGGAGAAAGAGAGAAGGAGAGAGAGAGAGAGAGAGAGAGAGTGCAACAAAGCATTGGCAATGAGTGTGAATGTTGCAAGTGTTCGTTCCAAGAATATAACGAAAACAACAACATAAGTGTAACTTGATATGTAAAGTTTATAAGAGGCCAGCGCAGACGCTGCTCCAACTGCTGCCCCTTTCCCTTGTCCCTGTCCCTGCCCCTGCCCCTACCCCACACCAAGCGATAACAAAAACAGAAAAAAAGTCATTTTCCGTATTTCACATTTCATGAAAGCGTAATTATGTTTTAAATAATTTATTATGTGTATTAATTACAATGAGAGCATTTGTCGAGTCTCGCTGTGTGCTGTTCTGTCTGCCTCTGGTTAGAGCATTTCCTTTATCACATGACACATAATATATGTACATATGTACATACATACATACTATATATTTGTTTAGTGGATCTAGTCTGTTCTTTGTAGCAGCAGCAGCAATATTTATGATATCCATATATCTATTCAGATGATCGAAATTCGAAGTAGGTTTTACAGCAACAACAACGAATTGCAATGCAAAAGAAATACCTGATCAGCCGCACCAAAATAGCAAAAGTTGGCTTCCTCTTCCTCTTTCCAATTTTTTTTTTTTGGTTTTGGCAAAATTTCCAAACAAACTTCAACGGTAGCCAGTGAAGCAGCCAATCATTAAGTAGTATTAATTCTAACAACAACAATGCAGCAGCAACAACAACACTAGCAAATTCATTCGCGTAGCTGAACTAAAATAAATAAACAACACTTGCTTTTGTTTTTGCTTTTAATTGGTTATTCTCATGCTCGACGCTTTTTTTTTATAGTAAATTATTATAAACAAACCAAATGTTTTAGTGACTGGCGTGCAAATAATTTACTTTGTATATGGCGGCGCAGCAAGTGTATCTCAATGTATATACATACATAGTACATATGTACATATGTACATATACATGCATACATACGTCTGTTACTATTTATATAAGCAGCTGATTAAGCAGACTTTGCCAAAACGTTCTCAATGATCAGATGTGAAGAAACACACCTGACTGAAAATTCCATTGAAACGTTTTTGAATTAACAAGTGGTCATTACATTTTTACTTGAGATGTATGTATTCATTATATAAATTCATTAAGGATCTCTTTGCTGCAAATGTATATACATACATACATATGTATATCAATTAGTTAACACCAGCATATTATTCATTCTAAAACATGAAAATAGAAACAGCAGCATATTAACAGCGTACTGTTATCATCAGCATAACAGAGCGTTTAAGTCCCCAACAGAACATGTTATTGGAATATCAATTGCGAAGCCAAGAATAAAAGAGTAAAATTATAAATAGAAATGGCAACACATGCATGCAAAAATAAATGAAAACAAAGCGAGCACTTAACCCCAGTTGGGATCCCTATACCGCAATTAGCTTTAATTGTGTGCTTCGGGAGGAAATAGGGGCCATGGTAGCGTACTGAAATGTCGGATGTTAGCGCCACACATCAAAAAGTCCGATTGCAGTTGAGCATAAAGTTCAGGGCCTTCTGAGCGCGTGGCATGCAACCGAATGCGACTGAAACGACAACAGCAATACGTTCAAATTCTTTGTGTATTGTGTGTCCCAGGGCACAAGCCAAAAGTTCAAATGGAAACGGTAAACGATGATCAACGTCTGTGAATATGTCAATATAACCGGTTTTCTGCTGTAACTGCAGGCCTCTACTTTTGATAAAAGTTTCATTATTATATTATGTGGGCTGAGACCTGTTGGCAGCCTTCTGGATGAGTCACTAGATTCAAATCGTCATATAGGCGCACATACTCTCTTAGATTTTGTTGCTCACATCCACAACACTTACTCAACAGCGTCTATAATTGTAATAAGAGTTTGCCCAGTCAATTCACTGACGATCTTACCGCATGACTCATGTCTGAAGATTTCTGTTTCCCAGAATCAGTATGAGTTTTCTGCGTAAATTGTGGAACGCCAGAGCGTTCGGACTCTAACTGTAACTGTATGCAAATTAAGCATTTGTATCTCTGCGACGCTGTTTAGCACTGGACTTCAGATGCTGTAGGGAAATCTAGTTCAAGTTTTGGGTCAACAACTCGTTTGGTTGACGTTGGTTGGAAACCAGTTTTAATTAAAAACAAAAAAAAAAAAAAAAACTAAACAAAATAAGAAAACATTTATCAAACATAACTTTGTTAGCTTGGTGAAAGTGCACAAGTTTTTCAAATGCCTTTATGTTATATAAGGCAATCATGACAACAGCAACAACAATAAGAAAATCCAAATCTGAGACAAAGTTTAATGAATTTCGCAGAATTGCTAAGTAAATATTCCGAATGGACTTTTATAAAAACTTTTAATTGAATTGTTAATACTATTTGCAGCTGTCTGGGTGCAATTTCGTTAAAAACTTAAATCGTAAAGTTGATTTTGTTGTTGATTAGATTAAGCGCTTTGAAGTTCAAGTGTTAACAGCGCATTGCTGATAACAGAGGCTATAAGTAACAGCTTAGACTTATGTTAAGATATCGAGTTGTGCGAATGCGAAGAAAACGCGACCGTACACGCACACACACACACACATACACATGCAGAAAGCAGATTTCCGGTTGCAGTGGGATGTGGGTGTGGCAAGATAAACAACGCATGTCGATTCAACATATGCCACCAAATGGTGCAATGCAGCGCATTGAATGTCACACATGCACATGCACACACACACATACGCTCACATGCACACACATGTATTGACGCCTCGATTTCGCTTTCTTGATATATTTCCAGTTCGTTTGCACAATGTCGAAAAGTCTGCGCCCTCTTAAAATAACCATCGTCGGCGATGGCATGGTGGGCAAGACCTGCCTCCTGATAACCTACACACAAAACGAATTTCCCGAGGAGTATATTCCGACAGTATTCGATAACCATGCCTGCAACATAACGGTCGATGATAATGAATACAATCTAACACTCTGGGACACGGCCGGGCAGGAGGATTACGAAAGACTGCGTCCATTGAGCTATCCCAATGTAACTATATAAATAAACATTTGTTGTATGGCTTATCTAATCGGTTTCCTTTTAATTTTAATATAGACGAACTGCTTCCTATTGTGCTATTCCATCAGCAGTCGTACCTCGTTCGAGAACATTAAGAGCAAATGGTGGCCGGAGATTCGTCACTTTGGCACCAATGTACCCGTTGTTCTGGTGGGCACCAAACTCGACTTGCGTATACCGAACTCGGAGAAATTTGTGACCACACAGGAAGGCCGACGACTGCGCAAGGAGATTCATGCCCATAGTTTGGTCGAGTGCTCGGCCAAGAAGAAGCTGAACTTAGAGCAGGTGTTTGAAGAGGCGGTGCGTGCGGTGGAAAAGAAGCCGGGAAAGACCCCACCAACGTGCAAAATACTTTAATTAAGTCTTATGCTTAATGTTTAATATTGTTATTATACGTAATTGTATTATGTAACTATATAATTGTCTGATAAGCGAGAATTTGACTCGCATCTTCCACAGTGTGTGTGTAGAAAAATGTATCGTTATGCTTTAATTATAAGATGTAGTTGTGGGGAAACAATTTTTGTATGCGACCAAAGTGCATTTTTTATGTAAAAATCAAAACAAAAATTAGAAGTAAAGAATTGTTTGAATTTAAATGCGTACAGAACAACGCCACAATATGCTGTGTATTATATATTTTCAATAAACACTAGTCATTAATGCCAATATTGTTTTCCTTTAAAATTTCATAGTCAGAATAATGTGTTTAAATTTCGCGGTTATATTGGTCACTTCAGAAAGGCACTGCTAACTTACGCCATACTAAAACAAAGTCGAGCTGCGGTATTTAATTTTTTGTGGTATTTGTTTATTGGTATTTAACGGTCACACTGACGCTTTGCAAACAGCGCTGAAAAGCTACAAATTTATAAACAATGAACAGCGAAAAGGCTGAAAAAGCCAAAGTCAACGCACAAATCAAACATGTGCCCAAAGATGCACAAGTCATTATGTCGATACTTAAAGAGCTCAACATCCAGGAGTACGAGCCACGCGTAGTTAACCAATTGCTTGAGTTTACATTTCGTAAGTATCGCAGCTGCATCACAGAATATGTTTCTATAATTAAGAAATTCGTTTATTGCTTCGGTAGGGTATGTTACTTGTATACTGGATGATGCCAAGGTATATGCAAACCATGCACGCAAAAAAACCATCGATTTGGAAGATGTGCGGCTTGCCACCGAGATGACTCTGGACAAGAGCTTCACTGGACCTCCGTCACGTCATGTGCTGGCCAAAATGGCGGAGCTACGCAACGCGATGCCACTGCCTCCAATCAAGCCGCATTGTGGTCTCCGTTTGCCGCCCGATCGCTATTGTTTGACCGGAGTCAACTACAAGTTACGCGCTACAAATCAGCCCAAGAAGATGACTAAATCGGCACTGGAGGGACGCACGGTGAAGACAATGGTCAAACCCGTATCTAGCGCCAATGGACCCAAACGTGGCCATTCAGTTGTGTCAAAGCAACAAGTTGTCACCATTCCGAAGCCAGTCATCAAATTCACAACCACAACGAAAACTGTTACTCCTACGGAAAAAAAAGACGCGAATCCCAGCGACATGAAAATGGAAGTGGACAGCGATGCGGCAGCCGTAGGCAGCATTGGAGGAAGTAATGCGGCTGTAAAACGGGAACGCGAGGAGGAAGAATTCGAATTTTCAGCGAATTAATACCACATATGGATGTAAAACAATCAATTATATTTTAGGCATATATTTGTAACTTTAATAGATATGTGAAATTCACTAATATCGGATATTTTAGATTAGATTTTATTTCCCAAGGTTCTGCATTAAGGCAGCATGACAGATAAAAATGAGCAACAGGTGGCGCTATTAGAGGGACAATAGTACTTTTGTGTTGTCGCCCAATCATATATGAATATCTAACTAAATTTTGCGAATTAAATTTATTAATCGATAATTGGAATTGATTAATGATTGGGACATTTCGTAAATACTTATAAACTTATTAGAAGTGCCAAAGTGTTTAAAAATGATAAATTCTTGTTAAATTTGTTCAAACAAGATGAACAAATTTTATTAATTTATTATCGCCAACCTTAAAATCGGTCGGATTTCTTTAACAGTTTGCTCTAGGAGCTAGCTTAGTGCTAAAAATGTTTAACTGAGAAGGATTAAGTATAAAAGTATTGGAATCTTTATTTAAGCGCAAGAATGATAGTGCAGCCAAGATCCATAATTTGCAAATATTCAGAGCCGCCATCCTGCAGACGATAGCAACATTCCTAAAAGAAACCATGGTGTTTAGCTGAATTACTGAGTATTGGGTACAGGTTTCAACTTACGCCCAGTTTGTCACATATGATGGCTTTCTGCTTGTCGGTTAGAGATCCGCAGCGCACAATGAACTCCACGAACTGTTCCATCATTTGGCCAACGCTGTAAGCCGAGTAGCCAATCTCTCGTACGAAATGCTCCAAGCGCTCATACTTGCCAGAGCGACAGACCTCGAGATAATCCTCCAGATAATGCTCTGGTATAATGCCCGACATCTCGAGGAGATCGTCTGTGTTAATAGTGTGGTCGGCGCCTTTCAGACGATAGCAGGACTGCAGAGTAGTTATGGCTCGTCTCATATCGCCGCCGGATATCTTCACAATGGACTTGTATGCATCTGGATCAATGTTAACGTTTTCCTGCATGCAGATGTGCTTCAGTCGAGCAATGATTTGCGTCTCGCCCAGCGCCTTGAAGCGAAACTTGGAGCAACGCGACGTAATGGGCACAATGATGCGAGACACATAGTTGCAGATGAGGCAGAAGCGGGTGCTGCGACTCTCCTTTTCCATGGTGCGACGCAGCGCGGCTTGTGCCGCATGTGTCATGGAGTCAGCCTCGTCCAGCACAATGATTTTAAAGGGCGGACACGGCCGACCATCGGGTCGCACGCTGCTTGCCGTAAGCTGTGCAAAGTTCTTGATCTTGGTGCGCACCACATTAATGCCGCGCTCGTCAGAGGCATTCAGCTCCAGTATGCGATCGCGGTACATGTCGCCAAAGATTTGACGAGCGGCTGCGAGAATCGTGCTGGTTTTGCCTGTGCCGGGCGGGCCGTAGAGCAGCATGTTAGGCAAATCGGCACCTTCAACACATTTGCGGAGTACTGCCACCACCTCAGATTGCTCGACTACATCTTCCACGCTTCTTGGGCGGCTATTTGATAATATGATTGTAAATTATTATTGCTTACTTTCCTAATGTGCTTTGGGTGCTTCAATTAATAGAGCGTCCACTTACTATTTTTCCACCCAGGGCGCAGGAGGCTTGCGACGTTCTGTGGGCGCATTAGATGCTTGCTTGTCTGTAGTACTATTGCCAGACTTTCCAGCTTTTAAAAATGCCTGCATTTTGTTATAAAAAACAACTGACCATCAATTTAAAAGATGCAGCTAAAATTTGGCGCAAAATCACAGCTGAGCAAGATGTTAACTCAAAATGGTAATAACAGTGCCTGCTACTGTTAAAGCGAGACTGTGTTGGCAAACGTGCAAAGCGAACTAGTTCTCAGTTACAGCAAGTGTTGCCAATCGTTAAATGATGATGTGGAATTTACAAATTGAATTGTTGCTTCATTTATTTTAGTTCTTTAAATATAAACACAGTCTACCATGGACATAACACAGGACTTTAAGGCAAGCGTTATGACAGTGCGGCTGCAACGCAAGACTGAACTGGCAGCGGCCAAGGCCAAAGCTCAGGACAACAAGCAACAGCGTTCAGGCACCGCTTCCGGAAAGTCCACCGATGGGACAAACGACTTTGCCAAACAGGCGAAGGATGTATGCAACAAGATTACAACGCTTCGGAATGTACTCATCGAGAATCGCACGGCATATATGCGAATCGGGCAGCATCTGAAGAGTGCTACTCAGATGACGGATGCTGAGCGTGATTTAATTGATCGGGAATCGGAGAAATTCGTGACGTACTACACACAGCATCTGGCCAAGATGCGCAGCGACTGGAAGAGTGTGAAACGAAAGCCGCAGGAGCGCCAACATATCGAAGCGGTGCTTGATATGCTGGTCAACTATTTGCATAGTATCGAGCAGATCTACCTTGATCAGAAAAAGTATCGCGTGCAACACGAGCTGGAGACCTATAGGCTTCTGAAGCTGGCGGCAGACAAGAAGAGAATACCAGTTCGTCCAGCGGGCAATAAAAGCGGCAATCTGGCGAAACGTCAACAGAGCAATACTAATGACAGCGCTGACAATGATCTGCTGCGTGATGAGAAAGCGTCAGAAGAAGAGGACAACGATTGGAGCAACGACGGTTGGGCTGGGTGGGATGACGAGCAGGAGGAATCACAATTGGACAGCAGTTCGATTTCAGATAAACAACACAAGCCACGCACACGTAAACGCAGCCGAGCAGCAGAGCCAAAAAGCGCCGACTCTTCGGCCAAAGTTGCATTGGACGAGGACATACAGAAGACAGCGCAGCAGCAGGAGAACGATGAAGAGAATGCTTTAAGCGCCGAGGACATGCAGCTGTTCGAGGCAGAAAATGTACACATATACAATCTGCTCCAAGGCGTCTCCGAGGAGGTCGAACAAATCGAAAAGAACGTTGTGGACATAGCCCAGCTACAGGACATCTTCACAGAGAAGGTAAGCAGTGAGAAATTCTTGATTCTCAACAATGTCAAACTAGTGCTTGTTTCCTTATCAACAGGTTGCCATGCAGCAGCACAATATCGAGCGCATTGTGAGCGCCGTGGTGGGCACCACGGAGAACGTCAAGGATGCCAACGAGCAGATTCGACAGGCGACGCAGCGCAACGCTGGCTTGCGCGTCTGGTCCTTATTCTTCCTGCTGGTCATGTCCTTCTCATTGCTATTTCTTGACTGGTACTACGATTAATATACAAATTATTTGGTGTAAAAAAAAAAAAAATAGAAAGAAAATATGTGAATGTGAAAACTCATTAATTGTTTTTGTTATAGCACTCTAAAACATAACTTGTTTATTACATAATTTATATTTATACATAAAATAAAGTTTGAAAGAATTCTGTTTTGTATTAGTTATTGTTCGTAGTGCTGATCCGCTTGATAATTCAGCGTTACAAAGTAAGTTGAGCTCAGACTTCATTAAATTTAAATTAATGTATTGTTTAAATTAAGACAGCCAAATATTTACCCATAGGGAGGAGATTTAAATACCTCCCTCTTAAGAACTAAACTAAATAGGTTTCAATCAATGTCATTCCTCACGAAATTATGGCAGAGTTTTTGTTTGTTATTGTGCTTGAAATCTCTGAGTAAATATTTGAATTGCCGCTAATGATCTTAAATGTAATATTTTAGTCTGCGCCTCATTGCTCTTCTAGTTATGTTTGCACCTGAAATGAGGTTACTTAATAAAATAAAGCTATACACATACTTTCTTGTTCACAATTCGTATATATGTACATACATATATATATATTAAGTCATTCAATGAATTCAATTCTTCAATTATTTATTTTAGATCTAAACTTCAGTGTACTAAAATGTATGTGAACTGAGACGGTGTGTGTGTGTGTGTGTGTGTTTGTATGTGTGTGGGTGTGTGTAGCTTAGAACTAGTGTGCATTGAATGCAGTCTGCAACAATTTATCATGTTGTGCTGGGTTTTTCTCTCTCTGTGTTTGTGTGGTGTGTCTATTTGGGTGTGAGCCCATTGCTAAGCATAGCAATAATAATAGGAGGGCGCCGTTCCAGGTTCCTGATAAATCAAATAATAAAGTTGCGCCAATTGTTACGGCGTATCCACAATCATGTCCAGCGAAGGCGTCATGCTGCTTTCCACCACTTCCACGGAGCCAGGGCAATCATCGATGCTGCCGCTGTTCCCATTGCAGTTGCTCAGCGGCGTTAATGGCAATGATGATTCTTCGATAGTGGCTGACATTGAAGGATTCTCTAGTTTGCTGCTAACGCTGCTCGGCATCTTATCGTTGAGAAATACACCCAGCGGCAGGTGAGTATTAATATGAGCTGCACATGAAAGCAAATGCAATTAATTAATAATAATGTTCATATGCAAACATTGTGAAAAGAATCTGCTTATGGTCTAAAGCTGGTGCAAGTGTTATGCATATCAGGCAACAACTTATCATCATAGTGAATTCAATATCATTAAGACTAGCCACTACGTTTGAGCACTACTTAGCCTATGTCTTATTCGAGTGCCTAAAAACATTACCACGATAACTCGTAAAATGTAGAAATGTGCGCGGACAGCTGTCGCATTTGTAAAATAATTCGCTGTTGTGGCTGCGACGGTGTTTGCGCAAATCTTTCATATAAACGAATACCTCGCCGCATTCTTCGCAATCGAAGCCGCGCTCTGTAAGAAATCAATTTGGGGTTTGTTCTGTAGCTAAGCCGCTGTTGAATATTTAACATGAACTTGAGTTAACAGTGTGCCTGTGGGATTAACACATTTGGCATGTTGTCGAACAGTGAGTTTAACATTTTGTATAACAGCATGTGACCGTCGAGTGTACTGAATCCAATTGGAACACAGTTGGAGAGTGCGCAACTTTTTTTTTTTTTTCGTTCGGATGGGATAAACAGGATTACAACACAAATACTAACATACTAATTACGCTAAATTTTAAATGTTTGCACACAATGGAATTCAAATTTGTTTGTTTCATATCGAATTATAATTAGGCATCTAAAATAAAATAGGTTTTCGCTCTTGGCAACTATCAACATGTAGTGTATTCCCTTTGCCTTATTCTTGTTGTTGTTGTTCTGTAATACTGTTATTATTGATATCTATTTGTTTATGTGTGTACACAAAACCCATGAGCAACTATCAAAGTACATACTAAATACATTTGCATACAATAAATATAACTTCGCACTAGTCGATTATCATAAAATAGTGCCTCATATATGCTAATGCCCACTCAACGTGATCATTAATTGATCTTGAATGACAGAGCAAAATGAGGCGATTTACAATGCTTAGATCTTAGATAAGTGAGGGACGTACATTGACAAGTTACGGACGCATGGACTATGTATATAATTGAAAGTTTAATTGGATGCAACTGAAGCAGTTTTTGGATTAGTTCTAAAATTAAATTTCTGCCATGCTGTGCTCTGTGTGAATTGCTCGTGAGAACTTAAATAGAATTTAGCAATTATTAGATTAAAGATGAATGAAAACCTCTAAAATCCTTTTTATTTTAAAGTGAATAGTTTTGTTTTCTTATCAAGGTTTTCAATCATTGCATGCCAGCAAAGCCTTTACGAATGAGACGCAAAGAAGAATTGAAAAGGTTCACTTTTCCATATGCAGTGAATGCAACCAAGCATTCACAATAGATCATTGTATTTTACCTTTCGAGCGAACAATCATTGTAGAGTAAACTGTTAGCACAAGGACAAATAAAAGAGATTTTATTTGTTTTATCTGGGTTAAGATTAGTAAACAAAGGCTGGAGCTACATGTATTGGTTCCATAAATGCTACGGTTAGTTGATCTTTTAAGATGTATATTAGCGAACTAAATATGAATATGCGTATGTAAGTATGTATGCGAATTTGAGGTATAGTTATATGTATTATATATGTTCATATATTTGTACTGTGTATTTAGATTGTAGTAAAGCTTAGCTAGCATCCAACCGGCACCCGGTTAGCCACCGCATCCGCATGCGTGCGAGCACCCAAAAACTTACCACCGTGAAACTTAATGTGCGTCTTCAAGGCGCTCTCCGTACCAAATTGTTTACCACACTCATCGCAGGTATGCGGCTTGATCAGCTCATGGACGGTGAACTTGTGCATGGCCAGCTGCTTGAACTCCGGAAAACGTACCCAACACTCGTTGCACTCGTACGGCCGGCCCTTCGGCTCGTGCGACTTCATGTGATTGTCCATGTCGGTGCGTTTCCGATAGCCTCGCTTGCAGATCCCGCACACCCAGGGCATCGTTGTCTGTGAGTCGTGGGCCAGCTGCTGGTGCTTGCGCAGCGCAATGATGTTCGTGAAGCGCTTCTCGCAAATGGCGCACTGGTGGTTGCTGCGCAGCTTGCCCAGCTGCAATGTGGCGCCGGTCTCCATTGTGGACGAGGACGGCGATGAAGACGGCGACGGCGACGGCGCAGTCGATAGCATTGTTGTTGCCGCCGTAGTTGTTGTTGTTGCTGATGTTGCCATGGAAGCAGTTCCAGCTGTCGTGCTGGCCATGCAGCGCTTACGGAACTGCCTCAACGTGGCCGTCGTCGAGTCCGGCTCCGATTGCTCCGGCGACGGCAACGTTATGTGCGGCGCCGGCTGAGGCTGCGGCGATGGCAGCGATGCGATGGTCGAAGGTGGCGTCAAAACATTCGGCGGTGGCTGCAAGTTCGACAGCTCCTCATACGACGACTGGCCCCTGCCATGAGTATGTCCACCGACCGAGGAACCTGGCAATTAAATGTAATATGAAGAGTTTAATAGTTCTGTTTCACTTGCACATACTCTTAGTACTTACAGTCCTCGCAGTCTGGGCAGCAGAGTATGCGCGTCCTGCGTGGCTGTTGGCAACTTGTTTGCGACTCCAAAGCTACGCATGCGCAGGAAAATTTAATCAAGAATAAGAACAGAATTACGGGAGAGAGAGAGAGTGAGAGAGAGAGAGGGAGAGAGTGCAAGCAGTAATTAGTAATAGCAAAAGAGAGTTTATTTAAACTAATGTAGAAGTTCTTTATCTACTTATTTTTCGAACCAAATTCAACAACAACAGGAATTCAAGTAATCTTTAGTTTAGAGAGAACTAGTTCAGTAAGGGGAACCAAAACAAATAATTATAATAGGTAAAGAGCTTCAAGAAGAATTTAGAATTTATTATTTATCTAAATTTAATTTATTATTCATATAAAAAGAACTCGTTATATGGAAGAGAAAAGCTGAGCTAAAAACTATGAAGTATATCTAGTATATTTTCTGATTAATGCCAAGAATCAGATGTATATACAATTTAAAGGGTAGTTAGCTTGACGAAAAGTAAAAGAACCAGTTCAGTTCAAACTTCATTTTATATGACCTAAAACTGATTCAATGAAGTAAATACGAAAAGAAACTAATTTAGAGAGTTTAGAGACTTCGATTCACAAAAGAAACCAGTTCATATGAGTTGAGAAACGAATTTACTGATTAATAGGAAAGAATAATATGAAGAGGGGTATAAACTAAGACTAAATCAATAATATACCCAGACAATATCTGGAATTGCGACAACCACCTGTTCAACCACTTAGTTCATTTTAGTACTTACCAGGAATAGGCTGGTGGTGCTGCTGCTGTTGCTGGAGTTGCTTGGGCTGCTCGCTGTGGTTTTGGTTGTTGTTGTTGTTGTTATTGCTGTTGGCTATTTGCAATTGAACCTCCTCAAGGCGCACACCAGCAGCAGCAGCAGGAGCAGTAGCAGCAGCTGGTGGCTCGGTGGGCAGTTTCATATGGAAGCGCTGCAAGTGTAGATCCAGAGCACGCTGCGAGGGCAACAGCTGGGAGCATTGGCCACAGTGGAACTGCTGCACCATGTGATTGCTAAGGATGTGCTGGTTGCGTTTGTTGCGCCCGGCAAAAGCCATCGGGCAATGGGGACAGTTGAATGGCGCCACCGGCGGATGCAGCTCAATGATGTGACGACTGTACTCCAGGCTGCTGGAGAAGCGCGGCCCATTCTGGCAGAAACGGCACTTCAATGCGGGCGGACGGCCTCGTGTGGGCGGTGGCACGGCAGCAGCTGTGCTTAATACTGTATTTTGTACTTGTTGTTGTAGGCGTTGGGGCTGTGGCTGCATCTCTTGAAGCAGCTGCTGCTGATGCTGCGGCTGCTGCTGTAGAAGCGGTTGCAAGTGTTGCTGTGGATAGGCGGCGTGCAGCTCATTGCTCAGGCTGGTGCCATATGCTATATGCAGCGGCGGCTGCTGCGGATTGCTGGCGGATGCCACCGGCTGCTGCAGCTCTGGCTGCTGTATGAGTATCATAATGGGTTGCTGCTGGTGCTGCAGCTGCTGGGATTGCGGTTGCTGTTGTTGCTCCTGTTGCTCCAGCACATAGTTCTCATTGCTGTCCAACAGCGCATAGCCATCGCCCGTTAGCTGTGCCGTTTGCGGCTGCAGCTGCGTCTGGTAGAGATCACCGGCACTGATATAGTAGGTGGTTGTTGCATTGCCATCCAGAGCATCCACACCGGACACTGGCGCCGTCGTTGACCACTGCAGCTGGGCGCCCGTCGTCGGCTGGACGGCAGTTGCTGGAGCCTGCCACAGCGTCTCCTGTGGCTGCATCTGGATCACCTGCAGCTTGCTGCTGCTCACTGAGGCAGCAGGATACAGTGTCTCATAGCTGACTGCCTCCGGCTGCATCTGCAACTGTTGCTGCTGCATCGGCGGCTGCAATGACTGCTGCAATGGCTGCTGCGCTGGCTGCAGATCGTTGAGTAGCTGCGTCAGCTCCAGCTGCAGGCTCTGCTGCGCTGTCGTCGACTCGCCCGTCGCCTCAATGTTCTCGAAGCAAGGCATATCGTTTTGGAAGCCAATCAGCTCATTGCTAAAATTACTGCTATCGAACAGATTCCCCTCTTTCACCTGCTGCTGTTGCTGCTGCTGGTGCTGCTGTTGTTGTTGTTGCTGTACCTGAGTCGCCTCAGCAGGCGGCTCATAGAGCTGCGTCGTTGTCGGCACTGGCGCCTCTGCTTCATTGTGCACCACGTAGTCCGCAGGCGTCAGCAGCTCATCGATGGGCGTGCAGACAGGTGTGTAGAGATGCTGATCCTGCATCTCGTTCAGTATGCCATGCAACGTGCTCTCCACGTCATTCATCTCCACATCAAACTGTTGCTTGGCCTCCACCAGCTCAAGCTCCACATTGAGTGGCGACTCCTGCGGTTGCGGCTGCGACTGCGACTGCGATTGCGACTGCATCTTAAGTGTCTTCTCGCAGTGCTTCTCGAATTCGGCCAAGAAGTCCATGGAGTTGGCGGTGGCCGCACGCGGCAGCTGCAGCTCGCCAATTGGCTGATGCTGCTGCATATTGGCCAGTCGCTCGAGCGACTCCATGTCGTCATCCAGTGTTGCCACCACAGTCACAGTCACGCCCCCATTGGGTTCTGCTTCAATTTGTTTGGATGTGAGTGCCACAGCAGCATTGAAGCTATCTGCTGTAGCACTCTGGCAAAAATTCTCGCCATTCTCATTGTTGTTCACATCGTCCGCTTCCGCTGGCTCCTTGGGCTCCGTCTCCTGCTGCTCGGTATTACCCAACGTATCTGTGTTGCTGCACAGCTTGCGCTGCAGGTCATCGTCGAGCACTTCCAGTGGTATGCTTACTTTAAGCTCCGACTCCTTGCCCTCCTCGTCTGACTGCGATGCCTCGTCCGCCCGTAACTCCTCCTCTTGCGCTATGCGCAGCTCTACTTCGGACTCTGCGGCTGGCACCTCGGGCGTCAGGGACTGTCTGACCTGCTCCGTAGTGGACGACGTCAGCTCTTCGAATTGCACTGTCGAATCAGCTGACTCGGCTACTCCATTCGTCATTTCAATTTCACTAGCCACGTTTGCTTCCTTTGATATGCTGTCGATTGGCTTTATAGCCTCAGTTTCATTGATTGCAGTTTCTTGAGAGGATTCGATTGGCTCTGACGGCGCCGGAGAGGTACAGATCTGTTCCAGTTGTTCCCTGAACTCTCTCTCTGCAGTCTCTGCAGTCCCGCTATCAGCTGCTCTGCTCGCTGCTGTTCCGCTCGAGTCCACCTGCGGTTCATCGCTTTCGTTTGGAAGCTCCTTCTCCGCGTTGCCTTCTGTGGGAGTGTGCGGCGTCTCGACCGAAGAGTTGCTGGCAAACTTCTCCAACGTCTCGCTTTCGATTGTTGTCCGTGGAGACTTCTCTGCTAATGCATCGCTGCACTGCTCCATCGGCTCTTTATCGCACAACTCGCTCTTGACACTCTGCTGTAACTTCTTCTTGCCTGTGATGCGCCTCGATCGCTTGAACGGCACAGAGTTGATTTGCGCTTTACGTCCAGAGCGCACCACCATGGGTGACTTCTTGGGCGACCTACGCTTTGGTGGAAACTTTAGCTTGGACTTTGGCGTTGTTGCCTTTTGGCCAGCACTCGAAGCTGTTGCTGGGGAAGCGAATGAGCAGGAAGAGGTTGAAGAGGAGTAACTATGTCTATCATTGTCAAAGCCGAGGCAAGGGTTCACAGACAAATCACTCAGCTGCTCCAGTGACGTTTGGCCAGAGCTAGATTCCGTCTCAGTTTCGGAGCTCGGCGCTGATTGAAGCGTTTGCAGCTGCACCCTTGGCGGCTCATCCGGCGACGTGGTGTCTGTGCCGCAGTTGGACATTGTCGAGCAGCTGGATAACGTTTCGGAGAGCTGTTTGCGTGCCGCTTTCGTTTTCCAGGGCATGTGCATTCGTTTGGTGGGCGACCTGTGCGGCGTGCGCCCCCTCAACCTCACTTCGCCCAGCTGGGACACGCTTCGTGCCGCTGGCGCCGACGCAGGTTCAGTCTCTATTCTGTTGCCTGGCAACGAGGCAGTTCGCATTTTGCGCGCACGCAGCAGCTCCAGATGCTGGACACTCGCTGCCGTCGGCACTTCCACATCGACTTCAGTCTTGGCTATTTTGGGCTGCGTCTGCTCCGTGCCGTGCAGCAGCCGCCGCTTGCGCTCCGCTTGCGACTCGGGCAGATGGAGATAATCTTCAGCAGGTACATCACTCGACTGTGCTCGTCTATCCAGCTTGGCAGCCAATCGTTGCTTGCGCTCGGCTATATTCTTGGCATACTCCTCCAGACGCAGCTGCACACGCAGGCAGCGCCGCCGAAACTTGGCCACCATTATGAATTGCGCCTTGCATTGACGGCAAATCTCCTGCGGCAGGCCATCCATATGTGAGATCTGCAAGTGGAAAAGACGGTTTAATAAAGTTGACAGAAATTAAAGACAATTGTTCAAAGGTGGCCCAAATATATGTACATATATATGCTTGCAGCGTTATTTGTCATAGAAAAAAATGCATTTAGGATCATATAATGTCCAATAATGATATAATATATCTTGTCCTATTGTTGCCTAACATCCGGTTCTACAATTGTATTTGTAAAACCATTTCCAGTATGGATTGGGATTTGAGCTCCATCGTAGCTGTCAATTTTATATTCTTAATTGATCTATCATTCTATATATTGATATATTTTTATATTCACGCTATAATCCACATTTTGTCAGCCACAAAATCCCAAAAATTCTAGCGATTGATCAAGGCAATTTTATTTTAAGAAAATGGTTCGCTTTTTCTTTCGACAAATTATTTATTTCTTCTACACATAATTAATAATAATAAAAATTGCTCTAGCTTAAATTATTTTGTAGCTTCTTTACTTTAATGTCAACTGAAATGTTTTACACTTTTCTCTTTTAGGAACAGCTTAACAGTGCTCACTTAACAGTTCGCTCACATAACATAACATAACTGGACTAATGCAGAACATTAGCATAACATCTTTAGCAACAAAGCTATAATTATTTAAAAATATGTTCCTTACTTCAGAGTAATTCAAGTGCTTATCTTTCACTTTTCGTCGACTTTATGAACTTTATGTTGGCATTGAAAAGTGCTTATAAGGCATTGCTAATCATAAGCAAGAAATATTGACTGATTAACTATTGTCTCTGGCTCAGCATAAATAAATATTTTATGGCCAGCTGAACAGACAAAGCGCGCTTCGCGTAGTGTGAGGAAAGTTTCGTCCAGTGTGGCCAGCCAAGTGGCAAAAATTTACAGCCACTTGTCGCTCAGGCCTCATGTTGTTATTTGGAGCAAATAATTTGTCTTTGTTATCCAAATGAACGATTTCATTAGTGTACAAACAACAACAACAACAACAACAACACTAGCTAGCGAACAGAAATAAAAAGCATAGAGTCGAAACAATTATAACTGCAAATTATCTCAAGATAGTATCAATATAATTATGCAATAGACGTGGAGCGAAAACAAACGTTGATCTCGTTTTTTCTTAAATTATGATTAATTAGAGAACTGTCACGTTACGGTCTAAAACTTTTTTATGTTTGTCCTCACTTCCTTCACTGAGTCGCCTCCATTAGCATTGGAGTCGGAATTCAGTTAAGAACTGTGATCTCATTTACATTTCATCTCTCTACAGAAAGTGATTTCAGATATAATTATATATTATTATAATTATCATATTGCAGTCAAGTTCCTCTATTTCGAATTGGCAGGCGATCATTTTTTTCGTTTTACACAGAAATTCCAATTATCGAAAATTATCGGCTACACGATTTTCGATTTAGCGGGGAACAAATCATCGAGACTCGACTGAACTATTATATTGTTATTGATCTTTAGTAAATAAATGATTTCATTCAAGAGTTTATTGTTTTTGGCGACACGTGTGAAATTGTAAATTCTCTAAAATTCGAGGTCAGAACCTTATCTTTGACACTGCTAACGGTTGTTTGGTTCAAGATCTTGTCATTGATTGATAATCACTTGTTTACAGTGCCAATAGTTGCGAGCCAAGGGCAAATATGCTAGATCTACGAGGAAGAGCAGCGCAGCCAATCCGAATCCAGGGCGACGAATTGCAAAGCATTTTTGATTGGAGTTCAACTCGTAAATGCATAAAATGCAAAACGAAGACGCGACAGTAGCGGGAAAGGCCAAAGAAAATCGCGTAACGAAAACGGATCGAAAATGCGAGCAACGTGATTGGGATACAGATAAGGGCATATGAATTGTATTGACGTTACTCAAAGTATGGTAATTGGCTACAAGTTCCCAAATCGGCATAAGAGTATAAACAACAACAACAACAACAACATGAAATTGTACAATTGTGATCGTAATTTATGCAGAGTTGGACAATAAAAGAGACGGAAACTCAGCATTTCGAATGCATGAAAACCGCCGACTCTGCATCGCCAATGAGGCCCCCCGAGCGAGTGCCAAACAGAGATGGAAGATAGCGCTGATGCAGAGATAGAAATAGATATACGAGACGGCATAGACATACGCCGAGGAAGTGCCAGAGACGTTGTCAAGTGTAAATTACACACACAACACAGCTAAAGCAGACAACGCAGCAAGCAAATAAATAAATAAATGAAGACTACAAAAAAAAAAAAAAGAAGGAAAATTAACTAACTGCCGATCAAAGGCGAACGCTTGGCCCCAGCTAAGTATAAATAGATGCAATCAAAGAGTGCAGCAAATGCTCTTTGAAATGCATTCGAATTGAAAAAACCCCACGAAACCGAATAATAACTGAGCGTACTTGGAAAACAAGGGGGAGACATCATTTCAATTGAGAGCAAATGCATCGCATTCAAATGTCGGATTCAGCCGTATATCATAGGTTCTCAAAAAGAATTGATAGAGATAAATATCTAAAATATTCTATATATATGATATATGATTAAATGAGTGCTTGCCTTTTTTGTATAGATATGGGAAATCTTGTTTTATATATTATTTTGTAATTTCTATAAATTTCAATAAAAGAAATGTGAATGTCGGATTATTTAGAAAAAATTGGAAATCATATTAAGTTAAATATTAATATTATTTGATTTCTTTTTGTCCATTGCTATTAGACAAAAATTCCTTAGATTTTCAGGAATTTTGTGTAAACATACAGCTGCGAAAAATAAAATAGCACCACTTGCATATTCAGAGTTTGAGGAG